CTTCGATCATATATATAAGTCTTTTAAATAATTCATTTACAAAATATCAGTCAGTCGTCTCAAACTTGATTGTTCCTTCGTTTTTACATCAATCATTCACTGTTCTCGTTTATTCTTCTTCGATTTTTTTTTCTTTTAACTTTCTGCCGCTAGGCATTTCACTTTCAATTCATGATACATACTACTTATATCTGTCAACATCAGTAGAATACACCGCAATATAATCTTAATTAGATTAATTTTATAATCATAACATTTACAAACAATACATACACATATGTATTCAAGTTGGAAAAAGAAAATATTTTTTACGGCATCAATGAAATTGTATGTTTTGAAGAAATGATCCGATCTGATCTGATCTGATCTGATGTGTGTGTGTGTATGGTCTGAGTAACTATTTTCTGACGTTGTTGGTGTTGTTGTTCAAACGATGAATAACAATGATAATATCACACCATATTATACTTTTTAGGAAAGAATTAATTACTTTGGATAATTAATGATATTGTATAGTGTGAAATAGGTATGGTATTAAATGATGATTTCAATATTTATTGACGTTGCTGATGTCGATTGTAGATGAGGATACTATCATTAGTAACTTTACCTAAATATAATAAATGATGCAATAATTCAGTGAATATATCATTTATCATGGTGTCCTTTATAAATAATGTATTAAGTTAAATATTTAAACTAGTAAGTATTCTAAAAGACGGTATTAAGTAATACTATGGTGTGTGTTACTGATATTGACAGATATGTAAGTAGTATAATTCATCAATTGAAAGTGACATGCTTTAGTGAACCGTGGATTTGACTCCAATTTGATCGTGTGAATGTTTTTTATCGCCTATCGTCGTATATAATTATCGACTTTAATCGCTTTAGTCAATAACGGATTTTGATAAGTCAAATAGCAAGAATGGACTTTTGAATACATATATTTTGTATATGGAGCGAATGGAATAGAACAAAGCAAAACGACGCGCAGTGGAGATGGCGGGTAAGCCAACTCCCACTTAGTCAAGCGTTAATCAATATTTATAGTTACACAAAAGTTACAGACATGTGATGAGTAATGGGATAAGAAATGTACACACACCTACGCGCTCATATAAAAACGGTCAAGATTGATAAGCGAATAAATAACAAGATCAGAATGTGACTCAAGTAGAATGAATAGAATGGTCTGTCTGAAACCTAGAATAAGGTATATGGGCTTAACACAATAACCGACACTACATGCCTAGAGGCAGAAGATTTGAAGAAAAATCGAAGGAAAGAGGATGAGAACAGAGAATTATTGGTGTGGAAATGAAGGAACAGTCAAGTTTGAGACAATTGATTGACATTTTGCAAATGAACTATCTATTGTATAGTTCTCAGATTTTACTAAAAGATTGTAATTTTGTGTGCAAATACATTCGATTGTTCCCCCCTCGCCGCCGCCTGTGTTCTCGTTCACTATAATACCATTTAATAGGTCGATATAATCGACCTTAAAACACTCACTTAAACACCAACATTCAATGATACAATTCCAAAACAGTGTCTTAACCCTTTTTAAAAATGATTTGACTAAAGTTAATATTTCGACATTTAGATAGATTTGATTGTAAAAATATTCAAAAGTCAATCATCTTATACTGTGTACCAAGATATCATTCACTTGATGATAATTAGTAGAAGAAGAATCTTGCAAAATATACAATTATTTTGATTGAATATTTATCACAAGAGTTCTTTTTTTCTTTTAGAGAATAGAAAATTGTACAAGAAAAACAAGGAGGAAATAAATTGGGAAATAACAGTTAATTTTGTCATAAGCAAAGATGGATAGTGACTAGTAGTGGAATCCCAGACACGCGTTTCATCTTATTTGTGACTCGTCAGCTGGATGTACCTGCATCTCAGGGTTATTGATCACTCTGGAACTTGAATCCTCTATCGCTTACTTCAAATGCCATCGAATTATCCACTTAGCTACTGAGTTCTGATAACAAAGTGTTTATGCAATGGGATGAAATTTAAATTCACTATCCATCTTTGTTTGTGAATTAAGGCAATATTGAGGCCATAAGCACAGTATGTAAATATGCCAATAAGAGACTGATCAATTGCAATGCTAACACATCAGTGAGAAGATTCAAGTAAACAATATTATGTGAAGTTAACTTTGTTATTTAAATAAAGTGAAAAGTGGGAGTATTGTCGAGAGAACTGCATGGATTGTATGTGTAACTCTTTTTAGAATTAACACATAGCAGAAGCTATAGGAATTAGAGCTAACAATTGAAGTCTTTGTGTTCATAAGAAATTTGTAACACCTTTATTTCTCTAATGGCCTTAATAAATGACCTTAGTTACTAGTATTTTCCATACTCTTTTTTCGTTTTATTTTTCTTCACCCCTTCTCACCCTTTCCTTTTCTCAAATATACACTTCATGGTCCAATTATCTGAACACTTCCTATTGAGTAATGTTTATGAATGTTATTTCAATGTCTGTATTTTTCTAATTCCTTTATTATTCTTATCACAACTAGTACACCTATCATCACATTACCAATTTGTACTTTTCACTTATTACATTTAACTATGTAATCTATCCCACTGTTATCATTGACTCATAGACTGCCTTGATTGGTTTAATAGTTTCGTATATGTATATAATAAATATTACTGTATATTAAAGCTCAATGAAGATCTAACAGAAAACAATATTGTTCACTTATATCTATGTTGTTCTAAATTACAATATGCGATTTTTTCAAATTTTGAAGATGTAAAATACTTATCGAATTCAAAATGCTTCTTTCAAATTTTGTAAGTAAAATAATATGATGTTTCGTGACTTAGTGTAAGCCGCTTCTTCAGAGAATAAATAACTTCTCTACACTAAAATAATATGGGCTAATATGATTCTCTGACAATAGTATAAGTGTATGTAGTCATAATTCCTCCATGGTTTTTTCTAAAATGAGGATTATTACTATGGGTTTTAACATGTCGTTTTCAGCGCCATGGATATTCTTCGATGTTAGAATTACCTCAGTTTTTCTCCGATAGTTTAGGTATAAACCTAATATATAACAGCGAACAACAGCATATTTATCGATCTCGTGCGCTAACGAAACGGCCGTTCAATACTTCCATGTTTTCCATAGTGGTCTAGCTTCAATTGACTCATGATCTCAACAATTAAAATTAATATAATATCCACAGAAGCTCCTTCTGATAGTAATAGAATTCAGGCACAACTTTCTGTCGATTATGAATAAATAGAACACATAACATCAGATGCTTAACTCATTCCCTATAAAACATACATAACAACTCTTTCACAGAACTGATTTAATCATAGCCTTCCCGGAAGTCTATATATATAGTCGATGATGTATAATAGGTCTTGTTTAGACGTCCGTCCCTCAAAAGTGTGATCAGTTCTTGTGAATTTCGAAATAGGTTTATTCTGGAGAATGCTACTCTTATTAGTCGTTTTTGCTGAAGTTTGATTAAATACACGAATTGTAAAAAAGTCTTATTTCACACAAAATTCCCTCCATTTAAAACAATCTCTGTTTATGGAAATACTATTGACCTATCTTGTTTTCTATAGTTCATAGTTCTTGAAAGTTTTCAGAAGTCAAACTGTATAGCTACTTTAGTATTTCCCATTTTCCTAAAATTGGGTCCATTAGTATTCGTTCTGAGCGTGAATGAAAGACTGGGACGCATCTAAAACGTTTTTTGTTTTTATCAACACAGAAGGTCAGTGGTCGTTTTGACGTTATATGAACCTTGAAGTGTTTGTCGTCATCATTACAGCTCTTGATCACACTGCTCACCTTCCGCGCTGACTTTAGTAACCAATCTAAGACCATCATGATTTTCGGTGAACGATTATTGTTTAGACCAATGAGTTAATGTCCTAAGGATTACATATCTAATCTCAATGAACTCACTATACCGAACAAACATCTTCTGTTGCCTTTAGTGAATAACTCATTCAAACCAATCTGATGGAACTCAACGGATCAACTCTTGAAATTATTTCCAGTAACAACATGATAATCATCAGTATATATAATCCTTAACAATATTGTGGATATCTATATACTAAGACGACAATATACCAATGGAGTACTTCTTAATCAGATCAGTTTATGATCTCAATACACGATCAACACTTTTCAATTAATAATATTATCTAATCATTCATACAAATAGTAAGAAACAAAAATAAATCCTTTTTTTTCCAACAAATTTATATTTTTTTTTAAATCAAGAAATTATATATATAATAATTCTAATATTATTATGATTAAAATATTTTGGCAAATTTTTTTTTAAAAAAATGATTTTTTTTGTTTCTAAGGCAAAAAGATAAAAGGTTGTCGGGAATTTTTTTTTTAAAAAAAAAAGAGAAAAAAAAACAGGAAACATGAAAATTATCAATATAAAATTACAATAATTGATCATAGTTTTTTTGTTTTTTTTTAAAAAAAAGGGGAGGGGGGATTAAATTTTATTCACTAAATAAATTAGCTGACTAATTACAAAAACATTAATTTAATTTTTTTTTAAAAAAGGCGCCTAATCTACACAGATACATAAATAAATACATATAAACAAATTGTATAAATATGTTGGAAAAGAAAACAGTCTTCTCTTCATAATTATTATTCTACTATAAGATAAATTGAATATTGATGTGTATATATGAAATAAATTTTAGTATATCATTTGATGAATAAGAATGATCAACTAATTTAAACGAATCATTCATTGACTAAATATGAATAAACTACTTGGGATCCAACTGATATTCTATTCTATTCTATTGATCTATCAGTGATGACATTAGTGCATAGTGATTGTCTAATATAATAAAGGCAACTATTTAACGGTGAATTAAAGGATTAGATATTAGAAAGTATTGTATGCGGTTTTGTGCGTATCCATGTGTGTGTGTGTGTGTATGAATGTTTACATTTAACTATTTGTTGATGATACAATTTGTTTCTTATTAGATCCAATAAAAAATACAGTAAATTGTCCAATAAAATTTAATAAACCTAATAACATAATGAATACATGAATAGTAACAATAAACCAATATTTAATTGTATCATGTTCTGATAATAATTTAATTTTTATTATTGATATTGTATCACTATGATTATCAATTTGTAATTCATGAAATGGTAAATGATCATCTTTAAAATTTTTCATTGAATTTATACCATTTAAATGATAATTACCATTTAATAATTTCTCTGAATGAATTTCAGATATTTTAATATGACCATCATTTTGTAAATGAGTTAATGTACGTTTATTAAGTAGATAAATTAATGGTGGAAGTGTAAACATATATACTAGACCACATAATGAACCACTAAATCTATAATGAGATGAAAGAAAACAAATAAATAGATACATATATATATATATATATATATATAGATAGATAGATATAAATTGATAATTTAATTTAAAAACTGATATTAATAATAATGAGGAAATCTGATTTAGTCTAACTGTTATAAACAATGTTGAACTTGATACAAATGTTTATCTGTTGATATTACCACACCTTATCAACTAGAGAGAGATGAAATGATCAGAATAATACATAAATTACTTATGCCTGTTACTCCTCGTGGAGGAGCATAGACCGCCCACCAGCACTCTCCCTGTCCTAAGTAATACTTTCCAGTTCTTCCTGTCATTCATCCTTTTCATGTCTGCTTCTATTTCCCGACGTAATGTGTTATTTGGCCTTCCACTTTTCCGCTTCCCTTCAGGATTCCGTGTTAGGGCTTGCCTCATGATGCAGTTTGATGATTTCCGTAATGTATGTCCCATCCATTTTCATAATCTTTTCACAATTTCCTCTTCAGCTGGAAGCTGGTTTGTTCTCTACCACAGTAGGCTGTTGCTGATGGTATCTGGCCAATTGATGTTGAGTATCTTGCGTAGAACTCCGCCTGTAGCTCTTCCAGAGTTACTGCCGGTCCCAAGCCCGGGTAAAGGAGGAGGGTTGGGCATGAAGTTAGCGCCCCATCCCGTAAAAAACTAACTCGCTAAAATGCACTTACCAGAAAAAATTATATATTGCGTAGACAACTATTTATAAATACTTGTACCTTCTTGACGATGGTTGTAGTAGTTCTCGAAGTTTCAGCTCCATACAGTAGAACTGTCATGACATTCGTATTGAAGATTTTGACCTTGATGTTAATTGAAAGTTGTTTTGAGTTTCATGTATTCTTCAACTGTAGGAATGGTGTCCTTGCCTTGCCAATCCTCGCCAATTGATAAATTAGTAGTCATTATTTCAGTCATGATAAAAAAACATTACCGATGAGACTAAAATTTATGGAGTTTTTACGATCTTATTATAGCTTGAGAGGCCCACTATTATAGAGCCATATGGATGAATTCCTCTACTGCATGCATTACGATTTTAGAACCTCTTTCTAATCTTGACAAGTTTTTGTACCATGTAAAAGATGTGTATCCACTTTAAATCTATGGTTTTGTATAAAATATTTTTACTTTATATTATTTGTCTTCTGATTGGCTAATATTTCTCAAAGTCACGTAAGACTCGTTCAAACATCATCCATAGATTATAGTCTCACCAGATTACAAATGCAGAATATGATTCAAAAGGAAAGAATGTTTTCGTTAAATTAAAGGTAGAAAATACGTTTGAAACACAGCATCTCAGAGAAAGTAAAAAGAGTATACACGTAATCCATTGTGAATAATTTTGAGTCATCTTATTCAACACATCAAACTTTAAATGGGCGATACTTCGTAGACCACAATCAATTAGTCTGCATCTATCAAGATAGTTCAGATAAATAGTTACTTCAGAAAATGTTTTCTAGTTTTGGTTTAACTACCACTAGCTTTATTTCATTCTATTTCTACACCAACCACATTCATTGATCAAGGTAGATAATGGTTTAGCACAAGCAATACATCTTATAGTCAATGTGGTAGATAAGTGATATTTTATATGGAAAAATCACTTCACAATGTAATGATTTTTAATAATATTGTTATATTTACGATTATTAACATAAAATGAGTAGAATTTCTTTCTAGAGACTGAATTCTTGGTACCTCGGAAATTTACTACTCGCATAACAATATGCAAAACAATTAAATAGTCATATATGAAACAAACAGTGAAACACAATCTGTCAAAATCAAACTCCATTTGTATACCTCTAGAAGTGAGGTATTTATAATCAACTTCAAATACAAGATTTCCTTTGACAATATATCAAAATATCTTTGGATTTACTATTATATTTGTGATCTTTTAATAAATTCGATACTACCCGTTAGATTTATCTTTGTTCAATGCCTTCATTATTTGTGTGAGGTATTAAATAAACATGTAGAGTCCATGTGTTACATAGTTTTCACTGTTTGTACATCACTTGATCTCCATTGGAGGTCATTATCTTTGGTTATATTATATATTATTTAGAATTTTACATTCTAGGCAATTCTTGTTTACAGCGTTTCGGTTATCTTATATTAAACGCTTTTATTATTATTATTATTATTTTTGCATAAAATGTAATGTTAAATGAGTCTTTCAAAAGTGTAAACTGTTATGATGTTTAAATATTCAACTTAATTTGAGAAATTATTTACATATAGTTGTTGCTAACCATAGTAAAAGTGTTGAGTTGGCTTTCTGAGAACTTCAACGGAGCCTCCAGAGGCCCAAAAGGAGTCGAAGAGTCCTAGCCAATCAGAGCATGACGCATCATTCTAGAATTTCAACGTGGTCAGTAGCATAATATGTCGTTAACGGATTGGCCGAAATATCATGCTGATTTAACAAACGTTAACATCTATAAATACCCATGTTTTCTGTACAAAAACGAACCTTAGAGTAAAGTGTTTCTCTCATACTTTGCGTCTTCTTTCTGGTGTTTAGGTCGCTGTGTAGTTCTAGCGTGCGGGTTATCAGAATAGCTTAGGAACGAATATAGCGTCCAATCAGCAAAACATAACAAAAAGAAACTTCTATTCATCAAAATAGCTGAGCTGATATCAACTTTAACTCACCTATGTCATAACTTTTACATCAAACTAAAACTTTCAATATGATTATGATTTAATGATATAACTCATTGATCCATCGTTTTCCTTGTTAAACATAAATGTGAATAATTCATTAGAGTCACTAGGTTCTTTTGAGAAGATTCTTTTAATTTTACTGTTTCTTTTTTTTCCGAAAATACTCAAGTATATTTCATAAATTTTTCATAAAAGAAAGGTAATCTTGTTCATCCATCGGTATCTAACTAATAAAACTCTTAATGTATTATGTCTTCTTAAAGTACTTAATTTAGGCAACAATTCTTCATTGTTATATCACATGATAAGATCACCTAGTAAACACATAGGGATAACATATGTCATCATAAAAGCTGTGAGCAAGTGCTCATATAAGTACAAATATATATTAATTCCTACTATTCTTTGGAATATATTGGCTGCAGTGATGAAGACACTTTGAAGTCGAGAAATACTAAATCATAGAAATAGTTACGTTATTAATTTGTTGTTACTTGTAAGTAGTGTGAATAAAAACTCGTAAATAATATTTATGGACGAGCCAATCAGAAGCGTTTTAGAGATTTCAGGGTTACGGCGCCAACTTTAATGCTTAATGCTAACGTACGATCGGTTCACAGGGAATTTTGTACAAAACGTAATAATTGAGAGGCTATAACAAATAAAACGGCGGGACTATAATTTGTGGACGAATCAATCAGGTATAAGATAATAGATCTCGGATTTTAACGCGAAAGCCTTTCATTCATTTGGCTAAATAAATTTCTGGCATTATAGCTGATGATAGTTCGTGATGAGAACACCATATATAAATCCTACATAAGGCAAATTACGGCAATTATTGCGAACTAGATGATAAAAGCACAAGTAACACTGGCTGCCGTCAGGCACTACAATATGCACGGATGTTTGGACAGCGTACAGACTCCTACATAGGCTCACTTATGTGCATCGTGTCGTTATCCACAAGTAGCGTTTTGTACACTCAACAACCGGAGTGCACATAAACAGTATTGAAGCTATGTGGTCGAGGCTGAAAGAGTTTTTGAGACTTCATCATGGCTCCAGAGACCGAGTATTCTGTAGCCGTATGGGTGATTTCCTCTACTGCATGTATTACGAATTTAGAACCTTTGAACCTCTTTCTAACCTTGACAGGTTTTTGAACCACGTATAAGAAGTGTATCCACTTTATCTCCTTGGTTTTTTATAACATATTTCTACTCTATACTGGACGTTTGCTGACTGGCTAATATTTCTCAAAGTCGCTTAAGATTCGTTTAAAAGTCGTCCATAAATTAGATTCTGGCTCTTTACTCGATAGGAATTAATGAAGAAATCATGTATGACAGAATGAAAAAAAACAAACTTATTTGTTCTTTCTTGATCATTTCATGGAAGCTAAATTCACAACTGTGACACTATTTCAATGATGTAGAAGGTTAGTGTTAATATGTAAAACATAAATTATGTTTCAATGCGATAGAACTATGGATTAGTGAGTTCATTGTTAACTGTACTGTCCACAAACCCAGTAGAAGAATAGAAAGAAAATCATAGTTACTGAATAGTAATCCAAGATGAATTACTCTTCTGAGTGAAATGAAAATGTTAGTATTTAGAAAAAAAAGAAGTGGATTTTAGGTATTATTATCATTAGCCATGATCACTATTTATTGAGATCATAAGACGTAACTAATATTCATTTTCAATATTCACATGAGAATATGAATACTTTTTATCAAAATTAGGGTGTCAGGTTCATATGACGTAATCTACACACCTAAATGAACTAACAAGTAAATGTATAGAATTATATATATATATATATATATATATATATATATATATATATATATATGTTGGTATTCTTTATTATATAGTCTCATGAAGATCCAGTTTCAAGCAGTTCTATAGTTTACATCACAATCATTGAAAACCGAGAAGCATTAAACATTCTAAATAAACGAAACTAGAAACATAAACTATTGAATGTCAAAGCAGTAGTTAAAAGCTTTTAACTCAAAGCTTGAAAGTCCCTAGTTTGATTTCCAGTGAAGTGTTCATTGCTGAGGATAGGATGAAATAACTATTTAATGCTTTCGAGATTTCAGTCATTATCTAAATTAAATTAATTTGTAATGTGATACACAAAATTCAATGATACCATTAGACTTTATCATTTGAGAGCAATATTGTTTGTCTTCATGTTATTTTCTGATAATGTGAACTGTTGAAAACGCTCATCAAATTGATAACAAATACATACGTACAGAAGTCATCTTGCAAATTGTTATATTTCGATGCGAATAATGATTGGTAACTTTTGGGATCCATTTATGGACCAATGCTATACGTATATTTTTATCGCATAATTGTTACGTAACTAAACTATTCATATTCATGTCCCTCTTGTTATGAGCTTTATGTTGACCCATGAACTATTATTATACGATTTACCGTTCTTAAATTATACCCTGTTCATCAATTACTATCTCCCACATTCACAGCCACATTTGACCAAATCTTGTACAAATATTGTTTCCTATTTTATGGTACGATGTGGTCTGGTTGATTGGTATATAAACTCAGTGTGTTAGAAATACATTAGTCATATTTCAGAGGCTGAGACTGGTATTTTGGACTTAACTGACTGGGCTAGGCGGGAAGCAGAATTGATAAGCACTTCAGACTGCTCGTACTTGTTTTGTGCGTCATTGATCCGTTCGATAATTCACTGCTCTCTAATTGGCGGTATCACTACGTTATACATTAATAAAGACACAGGGCACAAGTTATAACACAAATAACCTACGATTGGTTGTTTTTTAATGTTAAATTTTTAGATAAGGTATCAAATTATATATGCCATTTTTTGGTAACCTTTAATGATAACAATATATAGTTAACCAGACAAATTCTATGCGAATATTCATTACTAAATAAGTATATCGTTGTAAAATTCAGTAATCACATTTGAATAAATCGTAGAATTTAACTCACCGAATTATGGTACCAATACTCGGCATTAACATTGAAAACGTTAATGATAGTCCAAGAATAAACACATGTAATACAGTAACATGAATAAATCTGAGATTTAAAAGTAATAAATGAAGAAGAATTTTTAATAAACAAATAAGCAAATAGTTAAGTCAGAAGGGATTTTGTGTAGATTTTAGTAATTTCAATAGTTTAGATCATGAGTCAATTGAAGCTAGATCACCATGAAAAACCTGGAAGCAACTGGATGGCCGTTTCTTCCTTGTATGGGACTCCTCAGCAGTGCACATTCACGATCCCGCCCCCTGCGAGACTAACATCGTTGGATGCCGGCTTAGTAGTCTAGTGGTTGAGCGCTCGCGCGCGAGACTGATAGGTCCTTAGTTCGAATCTCGCGAGGAGCGGGATAGTGGATGCACACTGTTGAGGAGTCCCATACAAGGATGACACGGCCGTCCAGTGCTTCCAAATTTTTAATGGTGATCTAGCTTCAATTGACTCATGATCTAAACTACTGAAATAGTTAAGTATAAATTTATTAATTAAACACGTTCAAAAGATTATATTCTGTAGCAGCTGTCCAATTTCAGTCGTTGGTATTTATAAAAATTGCCGGCTGTTCGGCGTATACTTAAATTTGAGATGTTAGATAGTTGCAAGTAGTACATGGAAAGCATTGTCTGACCTAGGTTTCACGTTATTTGTCACTCGTCTGTATAGAGTGCCTCAAATTTTGAGGGAATTGATTATTCTTATAGAAGACAAACCAGAGTCACCCATATTCACTGTCTGAGATGTCATCATTCATTTTATTTACTTTCTTAATGATTGTCTGTAGGACTGTAATATTCCCAGTCAACCTATCATTGGTTGGTGACCAATATGATATTTGTCTGGTCTTGAACACAATGTATATAATCTTAAAGTACTTGGACTAGTAGGTTTAATATAGTCCAATCAGTTGAATTCGGTCATGATTAAAGGACTAGACAAACATGAAATTGGTCACTATTGAATATTAGCTAAATTGTAAATATCTATTTGATGAATAAATTGTCCAATAATTGAATCTACCTTAACAATATATCAGTCGAATTTCTCACACCCAATAAGTAAATACAGTCAGCTAAACATTGTACAACAGATGTGGAATCATAAAATGATTCAAATATTGAGTAAGAAGGGACAATGATTTTTGACATTAAAATCAACTAGACAGTCAGTCAATTCAAACACAGGACCAGACACATATATGCATCGGTCTAAGTCGTCATACCTCATAAACATAACAAGATAAACACTGAATTCATAGAAGTAGTTAATTCAATGATGGTAATATATAAATGAAAACTTTGCTGATTACATTCAACTTCAATGAAATAAATAATTCCAAGTCTTTGTATATAGAATGTATCATTGTTATTGCTGTTTATAATGAATTATAACTTCAATCATCATTATTCATTTGTTTCATATTTTAAATGGAATGCAACTTTTTCAAGAAATAAAGATCATACAGTCGTGTAAGAATTGGGTAAAAAAAAAGAAAGAATAAAAGACACATTACAACAGTTTTGACTATTGGTAGTTAGAATCTTCAAACTTTATATACGATTTCAATCAGGTGATTGAATCTAGTTTTATATTCCAGGGAGAGAAAATACTCATTTTATAAGAGAAAATAATAATAATAATAATAAAATACTTTGAGAAAGAATAACATTTTATTGACTTACCCTGGATATGGTTTCTTGAATATAGCAGTCATAATTTGTACACGTAAAACATAAAGAATCATTGGAAATACAGTGAACATTTGTAAAAGTGAAAAGAAACGACCAATGAATACTGGTATATCTGTTACTAGATTGTTTAGAAGATTCTAAATAAGTTTTGGCACGGAAAAAAGAAAATAAAAAGAAGATAACAAACATTGGCATATAGGTACGAATGAATTATATTTTATCTTAATGATTTGCTTTCATTAAACAAATGGATCTAGATTCACTTGGTATTGTTTTGGTTTGTATCTTCCCATTGAGGTTTAAGACTGCAATTGATCAGTCTGTTATTAGCATATGTGCATACTGTGCATATGTCTCGATATTGCCTTAATTCACAAGCTTTTTGTAAGCTATGATGGATAGGCAATATCAAGGCATACACACAGTATGCACATATGCCAATAACAGACTGATCAATTGCAGTCTCAAACCTCAATCGGAAGATACAAGCCAAAACAATACCAAGTGAATTTAAATTCATCCGATTACACTAGCAAGTGGCTATCAGGACTCAGTAGCTGAGTGGATAACGCGATGCCGTTTGGAGCAAATGGTGCTGGGTTCGAGTCCCAGAGTGAACATCAACTCAGATGCAGGTACAGCCAGCTGATGAGCCCCAAATAGGACGAAACGCGCGTCTTGGATTCCACGGCTAGCCACTATCCATCATTACTTACAAAATGGATCTAGATATTACAATTTATAACAGGTTCTATGTACTCTAACAAATCATGAATACTTGATTATGTTGCTTCTATTGCTCACTTCTGTCATAAACCCTATCAAATAATAAAGTTTACTAGAAATAAGTAATTTATAAATAAATGGTTAGTTGGAAGTATCCACTAGTGATTAAATGAATAAATAAACGACTGTCATTAAGATGTCTTTTCCATACACAATGTATGAGATACAAACATTAGGTAATAGTCTACATTAATAGAGAAAACGATTGAACGCTTTTCGAGAGACTTGAAGTTCTTGAGTTGGAATCTATGTTGGGCCATAGGCGCGTATTGTTGACCAATCATATACTACAGTCAAACAACACTCCACTGCTGGTTTTCAATGATTGTCCATCTTGGGTCAGTTCGTGATATTAAACATATGCAACAATTCCAACGAATTGATAACATTAAGAAGAAAAATAAATTTACATAGTTTTATATGGATTTTACTAGTGCCAATATATGTACATGGTTATCATAATGAATACGACAATACAATATTGTCCACAATAATGTAATCTAAATTGACAATAATTTTATTTATACATAGTTCAAACTAACATGTCTAGAGTCAATAACCAATAGAACATTAGAGTTAGCAATACTTTTAGTGAGGATTTGGAAACTGTGTGTAACTGATATATTTAGAATAATTATGTTAAAATTGGACTTCTTTCTTGTATGATGTGGTCGAAAAACGCACTAACTTTCCCTTATATCATCAGATGTACAAATAAATGTAATAGGGAAACATGGTACTTTTTGTAACAAGAAATATAATAATTATTAGATGAATTTGTAAATTTAGTCTTAAAATGAGTTCATAATCAATATATGTTTGAAAATCCCTGCACTTATCAACCAATGAAAGGAGCTTCAATTAAACAATAAAGAAAAAATCTGGGTCCCGCAAACGGGATCGCATTGCTGATGAGTCCCAAACTGGGACAAAACGGCCGTCTAGTGCTTCCAGGTTTTAAATGATGGTCTAACATCAACCGATCCAAGATCTCAATCAGAAACTTAATAGTCTCCACAATCCTATACTGATGATCACTATGACTGAATGTGAACAGTAAGATGGATTATTTCCAAAGACCAATTAGTACCATTTGATTTCTAAAATTATATTTATCTTTTGCTAAGTAAACATTTCTCATGTACGTCATAGTTGGTTACTTTTTATTTGTTCAGGAATTTTGATACTCACAAATCACTTAACAGTACTATGTTAGAGACTCTGGGTGGCATGACTCAGAATCGATCACAATAACGTAGGTGTATACACTCTTTGTATTCTATTAAACTATGAAATTAAAATCGCTTCATACCTTTATTTCTATTAACTAATTCTTTCTTCCTGTACTATATCCTTATATGCATTCTTTGTTTTATATATTATTACCATTGAATTAACTTTTATGAATTTGCTGTTCATCTTGTTGTGCTAAGGAAGTAGGGCAACTTGAACCGGTGCATATATGTCCCTAGTCCTACTTTATAGCTGACTAACTGACTATGTTATCTAGACACTTTAGATCAATGTTTCTTCAGTTTGGAGATTAGTTTTTTAAAAACATTAGAACAGTTTTATTTTTTTAATAATATGGACCTTGTATACAATGAATGTGTTTAAAATCAAGATCACAATTAAGGTAGAAAAGATTTTGCGATATTTCTTTAACTACTTACAACTATATTCATATTGAGATATAATATCATATTCAATAATAGACATTAATGATTGAGAAGTAACTATCAATTATATTGAATTTATATTATTCTAACTTAATTGTTATTCTAATCTTATTCATAGTAGACTTCATTTGATAGGTAATAATTGAATATAAATTTCGATCTTCTTACGATAAAATAAAAATAATGAATACCACAAAACCCCTTCTGATAATAATCATCTGCTCACTAGTGACTGGCTTCAAGAGATACTCCTGGAGTCCTAGTGAAAAGCCGTGACCGGTGGAGTTCAACCGGGTCTGTTGTGAGATATCAACTCACTGAAGACAATGGTGTACGGTGGCGCAACTTCGTGGATTAGCTGAAGTTAGACACCAACACCGTTGGATGCCGACTGGCTCAGTGGTCTAATGGTTAAGCGCTCGCGCGTGAGACCGGTAGGTCCTGAGTTCGGATCTCGCAGGGGGCGAGGTCGTGGATGCGCGCTGCTGAGGAGTCCTATACTAGAGCAAAACGGCAGTCCAGTGCTTTCAGGTTTTCTTTGATGGTCTTGCTTCAACTGACTCATGATTTCAACCAGTGAAATTTCTATAATCTCCACAAAACCCTTTCTGATAATTCCAAAATAATAAATAAATAACTACGTAGTCAAGTACATAAAAACAAACAAACAATCTAATTGTTTCTGTTTAGAAAAAAAATAAAGAAGCTCACATCTTCAATACATGATTTTGCTAATGGAAAAGTGCAATAGAATATTAAACCGATAGACAAATAAGTCGCTGCTACTAGAAGAAATGCAATAGCCACATCTCGAGTCTGAAATGAATACATATAAAAAGTGAAGAATTATATTACTTTTTTTAATCGAATATGAAAACTACATAATAAATATAATAATTGAATTATTAAGTCATAACAAATTGATCTCATAGTTTATATTATAAACTAGTTTCAGATAAACATTGAAAAGTAGAGATTACCAAATTGCTGTTTCATACTAGTACGTTATTTCTCACCTCTGGATATTCATGATTGAACTCGAGACTTTTGATATTTACAGATAGCGCTTAAACTTAAATCCACCGAGCCAGCATCCAGTAGCTTATCAATCGAACTTCAGTTGATTCGCATACTGTGTAAGACCATTTCGCAATATTATTGATGAGTGAATGGCTCATACTCAACATGGTTAAGCTCTTATTGTCACAGCTTCTCACAAGAACTCCTGAAGTCATATCTAAAAATTAGCTGTTAGTAAGTACATGATCAGAATGTGATCAAACATAGTCAGCACAAATCCTCCACTGCATTAATAAATTGAGAGTACATTTTGAGTAGTTCAAAAAAATGTCCGATTTCTCGTTATAATATCCTTGATAATATTAAGTGGTGAAACGATTTAGACAAAAAATTATTTGTATCAGAAAGGGGTTTTGTGATTATTTTATTTATTTATTCATTTAAACACATAAATATTGGTAAAAGAGGGTACCAAATATATATGCGCCACACAAAACAATGAGAATGGGAAGAGAAAAGAAAAAGAATGTAAGGGGCGTAAAGGGAAAAAAAGAAAAATAATAACGGCCAGATTAGTGCGAGGTAGTGTAGTAGTAATAATAATAGTAAGGGGGGGGAAACGGAAAGGTACAACCAGAAGAAATCTTTCAGTTAAGGAAGAAGCAACCACTTTTTATGGGGAAAGTAAAAGAAGGTTACAGCAGGATCACCACTGGTTTCTATTCTGAGCCATATCTGATAACGTCTCTAGCCACTGTGTCGCACGATTTCTCGGAAATCATGAGTCAATTGAAGCTAGACCACCATGGAAAACCTGGAAGCACCTGGACGGTCGTTTCGTCCTCGTATGGGACTCCTTAGCGGCGCGCATCCATGACTCCACTTCGAGGGGTTCGAACCCAGGACCCATCAGTCTCGGGCGCGGGCGCTTAACCATTAGACCACTAAACCGGCATCCAATGTTGCATTTCCAGGATTTTCATGGTGGTCTAGCTTCAATTCACTCATGATCTCAATTATTGAAAAAATTATTTCTCCAGTTCCTTGCCGCAAAGTTTAGTTTAATAATCTTCTACAATGCATGTATATGAAAACTAGAAACCAGAGGAATTTTATGTATTCAATTTAATTAACAATTAGCAAGAATTGTCTTCTTGAGAATTTTCACTGTTATAGATTTAGAAGGATATGAAATTATTTATACATTTATGAAACCATTTCCCTACCGATCATATTGGAATACGGTTATGTAATACCGCAAACTGATTAAAATTAGTCATACAAATTATTCTCTCAGTGACCTTAAGGTTAAGGGCTAACCACGATACCGAAAGATCTTGGAGTCAATCCCTGGCTCCATCGTCAGTAAGCATTGATAATTAGTCCCATATTTTCTATCTGCTGGTTTACTATTATTGTCTAATTAAGATAACTTATTATTATTATTAGAGGCTTTGTTCAATATTATATTTTTAGTACAATATAGAATTCTCAGCATAGAGTATTTCAGTAAGTTTTCGTTTCTTATTTCCTGATCAATGCTGATGATAAACACTGAGTAGTCGCCAGTTGGATATTAGTAGTTCAGGAATCGACATCTGAAAAATGTTTATTCTTTTCAATGCGTACTTCTGACAGCAACTACGATGTTTCTGATTGAGCTCTTTTGTAACTTGTGCAGCGAAATATCGTAAACTTGTCATAAACACACCTGAATAAATTATGAGACTAATAGGCATAATGATGTGTTAAAACAAATAACTTGTTGAAATATCTAGATGGTAGGAACAGGTAGCCCAGTTATTCTTCATGTAAACTGTATAATTTTCGGTTTTTTATTTGTAAGACACTTCAAATTGTCGAATAAACAGCCAAAGTTAAATAATTTTAATAGTTGAGATCAATTGAGTCAATTAAAGCTAGACCACTATGAAAAACCTGGAGGCACCAAATGGCCGTTTCGTCCTAATGTGGGACTCATCGGCAGTGCGCATCCTTGATCTCGCTCGCGGAATTCAAACCCAAGGCCTTTAGCCTTGAGCGCGAGTGTTTATCCTACTGGGACCACTGAGCCGGTATCCGACCGTGGTAATGTCTAACCTCATCACATTCGTTTTATTTAACTGTTCAAAAGGGCATAATAATATAATGTTAATGAAAACAACAAATATATGCAAAACACTTAACAGATTTAAATTCACTTACATTATTCTCCGGTCGTTTTTGATTACGTGTCAATGTATGTAAAGTGTTGTGACAGAAAAATGCCAGTGAACATATACCAGTTAAACTAATGAATGTAGTTTGTGCTTCTAAATAATAAAATGTATATATGATAAAAGATTTCAAACAATCTACGTATCACTGTATTCTTTCTTTAAAATAAAATTGTAGTACTGGAAGACTGTTAATAAATATTTGCTAATTGTAATACTTCAATTTTTTCATTATGAATTTCAATAAAATCATGAATCGGTATATATTAGTCCATCAATGAAAACCTAGAATCACTAGACGGTTATTTAATTCTAGTATAGAACTCCTTAGCAATTCATATCCACGATGCCGAACACAAGACTTTCGATCTTACGCGCGAACGGTTAACCTTGAGACCATTGGAATCAGGATCCATTAATGGTAATGTCCAACCTCAATCAATCCATAATATTGCGCAAACCATTTTCTATTGTCTTCAGTGGGTAATTGGCTTATATCCGATACGGATTAGCTCCACTTGTAGTATATAACTTTGCTAGCCGCAATAAAATAATTATGACAATTATTGTCTCCTAAACTGTGATATTATTTCACAACACAGTGGATTTGAATATCAGATCGTATACATTTTATTATAGGGATTATGAATAGCATAAAATAACTCTCTTGTTATTTGATTTACGAATTCTTCTACAACATACCTTCAAGGCTGAATTGAAAGTAGAACTTACCTAAAGTTCATCGCTCTCCTAGTTGCTTAATTCAATTACCTTTTTACACAACAGCATCAGTCTACACATTTTTTTAAGATTTCTAGCTATAATAATAAGAATTCATGATTAATCCATCCAGTTGAGAACACTGAATAGTTAATTCATTAACTACAATCTTTTTAATTATCATATTATTATTTACTCATTTATCAAATTGTATTCTGATTATGAAAAACATTCAGTTTTCCAATATAGAAATAACAACAACAATCACTATATGTGCCCATTGAATGAGTTGATGGATTCATTATTCACTCTGTATTTCTAGTTACTTTCAATGTGATTCATCATTCATAATACAATGATATAAGATTCCTTTGAATACTTTTCATAATTGATAAGCATGAATATGAATCAGTATTATTTATGATAAAAGAAGAAAAACACTTAAGAAAACCCATTTTGTACATAGATTGGCAAAAGTCAACATTACAGTTTCTAATAGTAACACTTGAAAACAAAAACAAACATGTAATTATCTACAAGTACGTATATGAACTACATTTTGTTCATAATACATTTCATAGTTATGTTCTGCATGTTTTTTTCTCTCTCTCGATTTGATATATTTCAAGTATGGAATTTAGTTATTTCAGAAGAGTAGTTAACGTATTTACAAGTCAACTTCTCGTTTGATGAAATGTGTGTATGTAAGTATGTATGTTTAAATCAACAAAAAAATCTATTCAGTCAGTCAGCTATAGCGTAAGACCAGGCACATATGTGCATCGGTCCAAGTTGACATACCGCATTAGCACAACAAGATCAACACCAAATTCATAGGAGTGGTTAAGTCAATGGTGGTAATATAAAAAGAAAGATTGTATATAAGGCCATAGTGCAGGAAGAAAGAATTAGTTCGTACAAAGAAAAAAATGAAGCAATTTTAATGTCATAGTTTAATAGAAGACAAAGAGTGTATACACCGACACCATTTTGATTGATTCTGATCCATGTCATCAAGAGTCTCCAACCATTGGTTACGATAGTCACGCAGACCCCAACCAAGTAGTAGGCATCTAACAACATGGCTCAGACTAGAAGTTAGTGACTTCAAGCACTGATGCCACGTTTTTGTTTGGCCCCCTCTAACTTTCTTCCAACTGTCTCCAATATTAGCCAGCATTGAGCGTTGTGGTAATCGGTGTTCGGGCATACGTAACAGGTGGCCCAACCATCTCAGTCGATGAAGATTCACAATCTCATCAACTGATTTACCATCATTCCCTAATGCCCTGCATCTAACCTCACTATTACTTATCCGGTGATCCCAGCAGATGGGAGCAATATTTCTAAGGCATCTGTGATCAAGTCCTAGTAACTTATGAATTTCTTTTACTCCTAATGGCCATGTTTCGCAACCGTAGAGTAAAACAGAACGAACTGCCACACAGTATACTCGTCCTTTTATTGATAGACGGATATCTCGCCCTTTCTATACATGACATAATTTGACAAAAGCCAAACTGACTGACATAATAAAGAGTAGTGAAATCATAATAGATATAAAGTAGTTGAAAGTAAATGGAAGCAAACCTATGTTTTATGCTAGATGGCATTCGCATAAAAGGCACTACTTCTACACTTCAACTCAAATAAATGAAAAAAGGCGTGAATTGTGAGTAAGAGCTCTTCTTCAACATTGGACACAAACATAAGATCGAGTGTGCTTCTGAAGTTGCATGTAATTCAATTGCTCTGGAATTTTCTGATGGTGATATCTTAATCATAAACATTATGTGTGATTCTTCATTTTATTGATGTTTCTAAAAGGTTTCTACTGAATAGTGATTAAGTGAAGCCTTTTCTGATGTTTACTAAACTTCTGAAAAATTTGGTGAGGCATATTTTTGGATTCATCAACAAGACTGACCAACTGTAAAAGTACTATTATATACGTTTGTCTTCATTCATGATTACGTCACTTGGTTACTATGATCACCTATACAGTCAAGTCATTCTAAAAGAATTTTCATCTTCACTTAAGTTAATAATTTCATAATTGATGGATGTTTAGTTTTTAACAAACATTTAAATTTTATTATATTTTTAAAATTCTGATCATCTGAAGTTGAAAGCAACTCCAACGTTTGACACAGCAATCTATTTCGAGTTTCTTCAGGGGATAAAAGTTCAAGTCATGCTATCAAACGGAAAGTAGAAATTATTTTTACTTCCAATCACTAAGATGTTTACAATCATAATTACCATTTTAATAGCCAAAATTTGTTTGGAAAAACTCAAGTTTAATTTTTTTCTAAAAGAGAATTCTTATTCATTATTATTCAATATTGTTAGGTTAATAAAATATTGTTCATGAACAGAATAGCTATCTAGTGATTCTCACTGTTTTTGAAGAACACGTTGCCTTATGTTATATTGAGATGTAAAGAAAGGATTACAAATATGCTATAGCTTTGACATATTCAAATTCAGGAATTAGCAAGCGTCACTCTACACCAAAACAACACTTTGGTTTAAAAAGGTTATTCACTTTCTTTTCTACACTCATGAACATATCTTCAGAGGTTATTCAGGTAATTGTATGGCGGATATGAATAATGAAAAAAAAGCTTGGTGTATCGAACAGTGAGTGTGGAAAAATAGGCACACAACTTACTGACTATTAAATATGTAATTTCTTTCCATGTTATATATTTATGAAAATATACAAAATACATTAGTACCAAACATAGTACACACAGTCATATTTCATGAAATCAAAGCTTCATATCACAGAAATATTCAACATTTATTTAACAGGTTATCAAAGATCTTTATGAATACTTTGAAGAACCATATAGAAATTAATTCTTTATACTTTAAACAAAGTAATAGCTTCCGTTTTTATAGTGTTTTCGGGAATAAACCTTTTTTTTATGAAGATAATTTATACTTTTACCTATAGTGAATCTCTTCAAGTTATTAATAATAATTATGATGCCATGATAAATCACTAATATGAAATCAATAATATGAAATAAATTAATCTTATGAACTCACGAGGTACAATTCTATAAGGATGGTTAGATGAAAAATCCATATTTATTCCCCATTGACCAGCTTTCAAACAAACCAATATGACCAGATAGAATACACAAATAGTACCTGAAGTTATATTAAATATAATCATGTCATAGTATTGAGAGGAAAAACAACTAGACAATGACAATTGTAAACAAAATAATGAATAGATTTCATGCCAAGTTATCAGTTGGAATCTCTTTGATCAAATACACATGATTGAAACGTCATATTTTGATGTTGTGATCAACTAATTAAGTATAACATGTACACATTTACATTGATATCAGACCACTTGTCTTTAAAGTTATGTTACTAGGAAATGTGTAATCACTTGCTCGTAAACGATAGAGGTAATTGACTGCTAAATTTAAAAATACATCTAAGAGCATTGTGAGACTTAAAAAAGATTTTCATAAAAATGTAATCTCTTTATTGATTAACATCACTAAAATCAAAGTACTTTTGATGCATTATGGAAAAACAACTTCTCATAATGAGTTGAAAGTATATCAGCCCATCAAATTTCATCTTCGATATCTTGGTATAGTATATTTGTCAAATAGTTTATGTTAAAACATTTCTTATTGTTGAAACGTAATACTCTTGATGAACAAATTATACTTTGTGAAAGTGAATGAGTAATATTTTTATGCCCTGGGTTCGAATCTCGCGGGGTAGGATAGTGGATGTGCACTGCTGAGGAGTCCCATATAAGAACGAAACAAATGTCCAGGTGCTTTCAGGTTTTCCATTGTGGCTTAGCTTTCACCAACACATGAATTCAATTATAAAATTACTAAAATCTCCACGAAACCCCTTTTGATAATATATTAAAGTTAAAATATAAATTGCTAATTTGCAGCTTAATTTTTAAGTCAGTAAATCAGACAAACGGTTAATTGTAGCGTGAAAACAGTCTGAGTAATAGATGCAAATTGTCAATCTCGACGGTTACTATTAATCATATCAAACACATTTTATTCACTTGATAATTTTTACTTGAATCTTCTCAATGATGTTTGGCACCGCAATTGATAAGTCTCTTATTGGTATATATGCCTAATGTGCGTACTGCATCAATGTAGCCTTAAATCACATGCTTTTTAAGCATAGATGGGTAGTGGCTAACAGTGGAATCCAGGACGCGCGTTTCGTCTTATTCTGGACTTATCAACCAGATATACCTACATCTCAGAGTTGATGTTCACGTTTGAAGCGAACGGTACTAGGTTCGAGCCCTGGAGTGAACATCAAATCTGGGATGCAGGTAAATCTAGCTGACTAGTCCCGAATAGGACATAACACGCATTCTGGACTCGACTGCTACCCTCTATCCATATATGCTTAAACACATTCTATTTTTTAAAATGTTTATTCAAGTTTATATCATTACAAATCTTTGCAGTGATTTGCAATAAAACTATTTCTAAAAGTTCAACACTGGCCTTTTAGAATAATCATATTAACATGTTAGATACAACATTTTCGATGAGATTATGATTTAGATTTAAGATAACAAGTATTGAATTTTAGCGCAAAATTTATTCATCCGAATACTTAAATAAAGTTCTGGCATTCATAGCTGATGTCATTTTGTGATGAAACTCTTAACTCTAACTTTTAACTCTAAATACTCATCTTAATTCCTCGAAATAATCTATAACCCTCTCTTTTCAGACCATATTAGGTAGGTGACTTTTCACATGGTCATTTTGGCTTTGTTGAAAGTTTATCCATATATTATAATTTGATTACATTTTCTATACTAAAACTGATAATAATGAAAAAAAAGATTCATTTTTCTAATTGAGTAAGAAAAAAATATCTAAACATCTACCAAATAATGAATGTTTACATTTACTCACCAAGTGCATTGAATTTACTTAAAAATGTAGGTGATTTAATAGAAATCAATGGAACAACAATGATTAAAAGCCATGCTGGAACAGTACGAGTTTTTGACCATAAACGATTATAAGTAGAAATATGGTCAGTGTTCAATGAATTGTTAAATGCTTCATGATTATAATTCAAAGAAGGTGTTGTAATATTTTCATGATCTTTATTTGGAACAAATGGTAAGTTGGAACATGTAGCTAAGGTAGATAAATGAAAATTAATTTATTGAAATTACAGTATAACTATGATATCTTTTGTATTCAGTACAAAATCAGTAAGAGAATACATTCATCAGTAGATTTATCATTGATATATTTCTAGATAAGTTTAATGGATAATAATTTCTAATTTATCAGAAGGGGTTTTGTGGAGATAGTAGTAATTTCAACAGTTGACATTGAAGCTAGACCACCATGGAAAACCTGGAAGCATTAGACGGCCGTTTCGTTTCATTGTGGGACTCCTCAGCAATAGAACGAAATGTCCGTCCAGTGCTTCCAGGTTTTCTATGGTGGTTAGAGAACAATAGATAATTGGAGTCTTGAATCACCTTATAATTCAACCTTATCTACCCTTCTATAGACATATATCTACCATACAACTATGAATATGAATGTTAAACTTAAGTAAACGATTTTGTCGAAGACAGAAGTTTCTTCACTGAATTCTCTTTATTTCTTTTCAATGACACAATGGATTATTTTACTTATCTGAAAACTCAAATAATTAATAAATTATGGATGTTCATTATATTCGTCAATAATTTTTTTTATAATCAGTGGTCTAGAGGTCAGACGTTCACACGTGAAACGAAAGGTTATGGGTTCGCGTTTGTGGATGCTCACTGCTCACGTCTCATACTAGGATGAAATGGTCGTCCAGTGCTTTCAGGCTTTTAATGCTGTTCTAGATTAGATCAACTCATGAATTTAACAAATAAACAAAAGTAAATTAAAATCCATTTGGTGTTGTTTTACTTGTATCTTCTCATTGTTATTTAGGACTGTAATTGATCAGTCTCATGTTGGAATATGTGCATCCTGTGCGAATTGCCTCGATATAGCCTTAATTCAGGACTCAGTAGCTAAGTGGATAACGCCATAGCGTTTGAAACGAACGGTACCGGACTCGGGCCCGGAGTGAGCATCAACTCTGCGATGCAGGTACATCCGGCTGACGAGCCCCAAATAAGACGACGTGGCGCGCATCATGGATTCTACTGCTAACCACTATTCATCTTTGATTGAAAATTAAGTTTGTTTAAATTTTGTTTTGAGTTGTGATTTCAATTGCCTACATGACTATTTTTTTTGTATTTAGTTACTACAGAGAAAACTTAATTTAAAAGTGAAGTGATTTATTTTTCTCTCAAAGTATATATCATCTAATTAATATGTTTACAATAACTACGCTTATGTGTAATGACATAATTGAAAATCCTATTGAAAGTAATATGTAATTCATTATTACTGTACAAGCATGTATTCACTTATGAATCCTATCATCTGATTAACATACTTAAAAATCTATTGTGAAAATAACAATTTTCAACAATTCACTAGTGTAATACACGTTCATGCAATCAAACTTTACGCATTGTAAACCACGTTTTTTTATATTATTGAATAATGTCATGAAATGGATCTTTTGTCATCAAGTCAAGGAAGGACTTTTAGTTATCTTCTTTGAAACACATTCATTATGTTTCTAACATCATATTTCAGAACTTTAGAAGTTGTTTGTTCATCATTCAAATTGAAAGGTTTCAAGATTCAACCTGGTGTGTTATATTCTAATTAGGCTTCTCAAGGTTCTTAATTTTCTTGATAGAATGATATATGGAACATGTTCAGTATTCCTTTAAGAATAATTATTACTTAACGAAATTTTCAAATGGTAAGGATAATAAGGATTCATTTCATTTTGATAGGATTAAATCAGTTGTTTAGACAAATTGTAATGTTTCAAGATTATAACTACAATTGAGAATTGAAAATTCTAACATAAATGAGTTTTTGTAAGAACTTTCGTTTCATGGTATGTGGATGCCGAGTTGATAAGAGATATTAAGGAGGAAGAACGCATTGGTAAAATCTCAGAGAATGAATTTGAAGTAAATTCAACGTTTCACCTGGGAATCTAATTCAAGCTCTTTCAAATAATTAAAATCAAACATCAAAATTATTGAATATAACTAAGTACATGGATTAACTTTAAATTTATTTCGCTGAGATTTTACAAATACATTCTTTCTCATTAATGTTATACATGGATTTTATTTGAAGTTTATTATGAACAAACATCAGCATAGTGCGGAAAAATATTTATTTATTTATTTTAACACATAGATATTGGTACAAGGAGGCACCAAATACATATGCTCCACACAAATTTCATTTGATATGTGTGAGGGTTGTGATACTGCTCGGGTGCCCCAATCGAAACAGGTGGTTGTCTTAGGCGGCTACAACTCGAGCCTTCGACATGAAGGTCTGATTCACAAGACAGTAAGGCGTCGTAAGGAGATGCGGTCCCATGGAAGCCGGTGACCAATAATTGGTTCATACACCATTTGTTCCTTTAGGATACTGGAGCCCATGTGCACCATTGGTTTGGAATCCGGTTAAAGCGCCGGATATTTGCTTTTCGTCCTCTCATTTTTGTAAACAACACCCGTAGTGCGAGAAGGCAGTGAGTAGAACTTCCTTGGCAGAGGCTGTATACGCGTGGCCGTGTGAGAGCATTTCGAGAGGTAGAGGACTCTCCCCACTCTCGGCCGTACCAGGGAATTTGGAAAAGTAATGAGAGTAAATAAAAAATTGTTAATGTGTCATATATGACAACCTGCCATGTTACTGACTTCGTATCCACTTCGTACAGCCCCACACTACTTCTACACTTCAATTCAAATAAAGGAGAAAAAGTGTGAATTGTGAGTAAGAGCTCTTCTTCAACATTGGACACGAACAGAAAATCCAGTGTGTTTCTGAAGTTGCATGTAATCCAATTGCTCTAGAACTTTCTAAAAACATTCTAAATTTAATAATGATGATATCTCAATCATAAATGTGATTCTTAATTTTGTCGATGTTTCTGATAAGTTTCTACTCAATAATGATTGTGTGATGCATTTCCTGATGTGTTTTATCTTTATATTTATAGACTCTGAACAGATATATTTATAAAACCCCTTAGGTTATTAAGTCAAAAAGTATTTCTAGCTGTTTTCTTTAAAACACAGTCACGTTTCTAACGCCTTTTTTCGGAATATAAGTTGTTTGTTCATTATTCATATTGAAAAGTCTCAAGGTTCAACCTGATGTGTTGTATTCGAATTGAGCTTTGCAAGATTCTTAAGTTTCCGGATAGAATAGTGAGCGAGACTCTAACTTAGGGACTAGCCAATCAGAAGCATTTGAGCAATTTTAAGGTCACAGAGCCAAGTTCAACACGCGATGCTAACATACGATCGTTTCACAGCGTATTTTAGAGAGGAGGTGATTATTGAGAGGTTAAAACAGATGGGACAATTCAGAAGTTCTTGTAAGTGTGACTGTGGTCATTAAATGACTGCAGGAAAATCTGCAGACCACCATGGTGAGATTATGTTTCGTTGTTCTGCATGTTGGAAGAAAAAATCTCCCCGAACGGGAACCTTTTTTGCTCGATCACGGCTGAGACTTAAACAAATCATGATAATAGTGGCGAAGTGGGTAATAAAAACACCAGTAACACTGGCTGCGGCGTCTGCAGACGTTACTGAAACTTCAGCAGTTCAGTGGTATGAGTACTGTCGCGACATATGCGCGACCAAAATGACACAAGTATATGAAACATTTGGAGGAGTTGGAAGGATAGTGGAAATAGACGAGACAGTAGTTAGAAAGAGAAAATACAACAAAGGACGTCTTATCAAGGAAGACTGGGTAAGTAGTACTTCCGTAAATATACTTAACAGCTACTTGGATTTTACGATCGTTCTACTCAAAAGGGATATTTTCAAAACGTGAGGAACCGTCAGGCAAGGACAATAATACCAATCATAAAGGAATACGTCCAGCCTGGCACGACGATCTATACGGATGATTGGAGAGCCTACAGATGCCTCGAGAGACTTGGATTTGTGCATCGTGTTGTAGTGCACAAACTCCATTTTGTCGATCCCACGACAGGGGTTCACACAAACAATATTGAAGCTATGTGGCTTAAAGAATTTTTAAGACCCTACCACGGCTCCAGAGGACGATTATTATGGAGCCACATGGAAGAGTTTCTTTACCGCATGCATTACGATTTTAGGACTTCTGAACCTTTATTGAACCTTAACAAGTTTTTAACCCATGTAAAAGAAGAATATCCACTGTAATTCACTACTTTCTTATAATATATTTTCACTTTATACTAACTGTCTTCTGATTGGCTGTTAATTCTCAAGGTCATTTAAGATTCGTCCAAAGGTCGTCCCTAAATTAGAGTCTCGCCGAATGGTGTATAGAATATATTCAAAATGTTCAAAATAATAACTTACTTCTTTCACACTGATAAAAACTTTTTATAACATACATTTAAATCTATAAACACAACTGATGGTAACATGTAAAATTGAGTACATATAGATCGTTTATTAAATTATTGAACATGTTTTTCTATATAAATATCAAGTTGATTACAGAATGTATTAGAGATAATTCAGTGTGTTGAATCTTAATAACCGTAAAAATCTTCGTTAAATTATACTCATCTGTTAAGTTTAAACCAGACATGATCTAAAAGACACTCAGTTTATACTGTTCGAGATTTATCAGTGAAATAGATCATTTATTGTGTTACATACAATTAGTCGATACCGAATAAAATATCACAAATCAATGAACTTATGAATATTGAAATTCTCCTGAATCAGTTCACTATTGTTCTAATAAATATTCTTTTTCTTTTTGAAATAAAAATTTTATGATACAATAACGTAATATGTATATTCTAAATCAGATTTTTCTGTCAACATATATGACAAACATTCATGACAAAAATTGTTTTGTTCACACTTAAAAGAGATAATTCAATTCAAGTATGTATCATATACAAGTAAACATACTCAACATTGAATCATTCGCTTCGATTACTATTTCTGTTACTATTACTACTACTACTACTACTACTACTACTACTACTACTACTACGACTTGGATACAACAAATATTTACATATAAACAATATATCAAATATCTCTATAGACAGTTATTTACTACTAAATATAAATAACATTACATTAAATAAGAAGAAAACAATATTGAAAGAAGTAAATACTTTAGATGTTCACAAAGAGTCTGAAACAATAAATTATCATTATGAAATTATTTCATTTCTATGATGCTGTCTGTCAAATAACTACTGTAGTCATGATTTATATATATGTATATATATATGCATAAGTCTTATTACAACATGTTCATATCCCTGTCAGAAGTATTTTAAATATAAAATGAATATTAATTAATGGTAAACATTCCTAAGCATTTAAGTTATTTATTGTCATTTATATTCTTATATAAATAGTAATGTGTATTTATCATTGAAATGCAATGCTGTTTTACATTCCAATAACCGGAACAATAATAATAGTAATGATTCTCATTATTATTATAATATGAATGCATTCAGTATAAGGTGTATAGCATATATAACATAAAGGTCTATATTAGTATGAATAAGAATGATTTTTCATTTCATGTCTTAATAATATCAGAATCATTTATTGATAATGTTTTGGTTAATTACACTTCAAATTATCAACCTAATATGAATAATAAGTTTATTCTAATGAGATATTCTAACTTGAATAATGAATAATATTGAAATGGTTGTTAGAATTTATTCATTATGAATAATGAATAAATGTCCATCATTTCAACTAAATTTTCAAAAGTCTATATATATTTGCAAAAATATTTCTTCAATGGTAACTCCTCTAACCGTGAAGCTGGGTGACATGGGATCGAATCTATCAGGAAGCATCGGCTTCCTCAAGATTACAGGTATACTTTGCTGACGAATGCCAAGTAGCACGGAACCTAGATCCAGGATTTCTTGTTAACTTCCTCCAACCACAATCTTATAGATGATGATTAGCCAGTTTCGTGAGTTGAAATGTAAATCTCATTGTTTTAAAGGAAGTACTCCGATTGTTTCTGAGTTTGATTAATGATGTTATACTGGGATAAACCAGCTATGTACTCTATATTATTATCATCGATAGTTTAGCTAAAGTGACGCAATAATGCAAACTGTAACTAAATAATCCTGAATGAGAAATTGATAAAATTAAAATATTAAACTACTGTTGAAAACCTGGAAACACTGGACGACCGTTTCATCTTAGTGCGGGATTCCTCAGCAGTCTTTATTCACGACCCCGCACCTGGGGCCTTAAACCAGGACCTTTGGCCTCGATTGAGAATATTTAACCTTTAAACTACTAAGTCAGAACCAAACGGAGTTGATCTCTGACTTCGACCAATTCACGACGTCGCACCGCAATCTGCCATTGTCTCCGGTGGGTAACCGTTCCACAAACTACACGGTTAAACTCCAATAATCATGGCTTAACACTGTGTATTACTAAGGAGTCTCATACTATAACACAATGGTCATCTAGTGCTTCCAGATTTTTAATGGTAGTCTAACATTGATCGGCTCATGATTTAGAAGAAATTCAACAATCTCTGCAACTATGACCTGTAAATTACAAGAGACCGTATTTACAAAATAATACGATGATTTCAAGTAGTAAAACATCAAAAATAGTTGATCTCTTCAGTCCTATAAGGTAAAATCTAATATTTTTGTCCCAATATTACGCATTTTATTCAGTTCAAGTATTATTTTATATTCTAGCTATTTATTTGTCTCTTTCATACATTTCATAAGTTAATAATTGTCGTAAGTGTACAAGTGTTAATTCATCCTAATATTATTGCCGCCTATCAGTTTACATCTAATATCAGTTAGAAGAGAGGCATTAGAGTACAGCTATTACAGTTTGCCTTTATCTTCCCAACATTGAGAGCAATAAACACAAATTCGTTGATAAATTCTCTGTATATCAAACATTTTACAACAAAATTATTTGCTGTTATGTTTATAGTTTTACGTTTGGAACTGAAATGCAGTTGAATACTGTAGTTATCAGCAACTAAACTACAGATGTCAGTTGAGTAGAGACAATCGTTTAGGAACCTTATATCCTTAATGTAGTACAGAATGAGAATTTTTTATAATATAGACTGTATGGTTAAGAGAATTTAAATTCATAGTAGGACAAAATAAAAGATGTAGTTTCTATTCTCATGAAAAGAAATCGTTCTTTTAAAACGATTGCTAATCAAAATAACATCAAATAATGATGCACTCAGTATCGAGTTATTTACAAAATTGGACACATCGCAGTTTGAGCCATGAATAACTTCAAAGCAATAATTTATTTAAATTAATGTGTTTGGCTTAAGTCTTTCAATTATACATTTGTCCGTTGGCCAAACCTTTTCAGCAACAACTTATTGTGGAAGAGAACAAACTCGATTTCAGTGGAGGAAAAAATCAGAAAGAAGTGCTGGAAGTGGATAAAACATACATTGAAGAAAGCACGCAACTGTATCACAAAGCAAGCCCTCACTTGGAATCCTCAAGGCCAGAGGAGGAGAGGAAGACCAAAGAACACATTACGCCAAGAAATGAAGACAGAAATGCGAATGAGTGAACAACAACTGGTAAGAACTAGAAAGGGAAGGCCCAGAACAGAGTGGGGTGAAGAAAGCTGGTCGGCGACCGATGTTCCATTGGGAGTAATAGGCGTAAGTAAGTATGTAATAGAAAGTATAAGCACATATTGTTTTCCAAAGTAGATTTCAATATCATTTTGACTAAATAAACAAATAATTACTTATTTTTAGATTATTAATCATGTTAGTAAATTAGGTACTAAAAAAGGCCTCATTCTCTGTCATTATTCCCAAAATTAGCTATATTTGTGCGTACAATTACATTTTAACAGATAAACATATAGTATCCAGGTCAAATGTTTTAGCCTTCCATTTATCAACTTCTCTAAAATATTACAATTAATCAAATATGTTTCTAATTTGTTTCAAAAACGATAATTATGAATACCGAATTGTTGATGTTTAACAACCGTTATCAATAAAAGGTTTTACAAATTATACCGACATTAAATACTAGAAAAGAGAGAATTGAAACACTACACTTAGTAGTTATACTTTCTTTGTATCTACTATAAAATAGAAAAAAGTTAAATACGTTGAAATTCAAGTACCTTGTATGTGATCAAAAGATAAAAAATATATTTGTATCAATTGAAGTGATGAAAAACCCGCTTTATTGGTTGAATTTAAAAGATGGAAGATACCGACGATTAAGAAAAACATTTTTAAATCAGTACGATTTCAATGTATGTTAAAAAAGATATTGACTGTAATATGCCTTAATTGGTTTCGTGCATTTTTTGTTGTTTTCATTGTAATTATTACTAATTAAAATGATATCGGAATATCAGTTGGCTTTTAATGCACATAAATTCCTTTTCATTTAAAGATCTTTATGAATCCTTGTAACATCTAGTTATAGAAAAGATTCGAGTTTTTTTTTAATTTAGTTTGAGAATAAAACTGAATTCAATTATTCATTATCTTACTTCTGAACTCAATCAGTTCCTTAATTTTGATTGATTAATAGTTTTGAAAGGAAGCTTATCATCCATTAATTGATAAAGATTGTTATCATTAGTTAATATAAACACATTTTATGTAGTTATAAACTATCTGACTTAATATACTCTACATTTTGAAATGGATAGGACATACATTACGGAAATCATCAAACTGCATCACAAGACAAGCGCTAACTTGAAATCATAAAGGGAAGCGGAAAAGAGAGCACCTTTCGTCAGGAAATAGAAGCAGATATGAAAAGGATGAATAACAATTGGAAGAAGCTGGGACGTATTGCCTAGGACACGGAGAGTAGTGGTGAGCGGTCTATGCTCCTCCACGAGGAGTAACAAGCATAAGTAAGTCAGTAAGTAACTCTACATTTTCTCTTGCCTTTGATACTCTCGATGTGTTTTTTTCAAGATCCTCTATCGCAACAAAATATCTACTAATTAAATATAAATACTAATACAAGTTAAACATAACTATTGCTAAGCAATTAGAAAACCACAACTCAACTTACCACCTGTATACGTTTTATTCCATAATGTAAATGTTTGATCTAAATGTGAATTATTCACATTGTTTATTTTATCTATAAAATGAAAACAAAAATTGTTTTTATTAAATCATCAATATCAAGTATTTTCTAGGTACATTTTTGAAGTTGGAAAATACATTTTTGTGTAACTCAATGAAAACTTACATAAGACATTATTGGAAAGCCAGAGACTCTATTATATAATGTTTTAAGAAGTGTTTATTCACTACTTCTAATCTTTCAATGAATACTGAACTTAGATGGGTTCATGAAATTAATAACCTCTAGAAACCTCTATATTGATAAATTAAATCTGTTTCAAAATACCCATCGAATAAAAAACAATGAATTCAGTGAAAGAATTGTTTCTGACGAGTTCATTGTAGTACTAAACAGTCGTATGTATATAATATCCCAATGAGTAGAAAAATTAAGTTTTTAAATTTTCCGACGTTTCGTAAATCAGTATAAGTCACTTCTTCAGAAAATAAAGAAATAACCAGATTAAATTAACCCAAGTTTAACTGGTACAGAGGAGCAAAGCAAGAATATTAAGTGTGATCATGCAAAAACAGGTGTGATCAAGTCGATGTCATGTCATTCCGGTCAAGGTGATTTATATGAGGCATATTTGTATAGTTGTGCGTGTCTGTGTACAGTAAAGGATGAAAAAATGTGACATTTGTGGTGCAAACGGATAGATCAATACACTGTCATGTTACATTCAGATGACGTATCAGAATGAAAATGAACACGGTGAGCTATTATTTTTTATTGCTTAGCTAAAAGAAATCTAAGTGGAGCTCTAAATCTAGCCATCTACTGAAAATCAACGCATTCAAGTCGCTTTGTCGACTTCAATTCGGTGCATTCATTCAGTACGAAAATCTCTCTAACCCCAAATCTATTTAGAATGGCAAACATCTGGAAAGGATAAGCAAATCGAACGAAAGTATATAAATAACATCTTACAACATTATATTTTCCCTATAAAGATTATTAAAAGTGCAATAAAACTAGACGTGTTACAGCTAAATAATAATCCCAATGAAATATCATGGACTGATACTTTAGTTTTACCATACCACCATGATACAACAGAACTCCAAAGAGTGTTACAGCAACACAGAATTAAAGTACATACAAAACAACGAACACACTTCAAAACACTTTAGTTTCCATAAAGGGAAAAATCCCCTTCTTCTCAACTCGGAATTATTTTTACAAATTAGGATGTGTCGATTGTGATACCTTCTATATTGCAGTCATCCCGCAAAATCTTGACTCAAGCCAAAAAACATCTTAAGTACACAAACAAACCGCCTAATAATCCCACAGAACCGGAAGAACTCCAAAATAAATCTGCAATAGCAGTTCATGTGATTTAAAATAACCATCAAATCAACTTTAAAAGCATCAAAATAATAAAGTCTTTTCCGATTACAAAGAAAGAAGAGTAGCTGAAACTTTTCCTATATTGCTTAATCCTATTGCCCTCAATAGAAAAGAAGACCTCATTATATATCCAACTTCGACCATCTATCCGAGCTACTATGTTTGATTTTATTCATATCTCACATCATTATCGTACGTAGAAACTCAACTCTATTCTTTCGCAACACAAATGTCACATTTTTTCATCTTTTACTATACACAGACACGCACAACTATACAAATATGCCTCATATAAATCACCTTGACCGGAATGACATGACATCGACTTGATCACACCTGTTTTTGCATGATCACACTTAATATTCTTGCTTTGCTCCTCTGTACCAGTTAAACTTGGGTTAATTTAATCTGGTTATTTCTTTATTTTCTGAAGAAGTGACTTATACTGATTTACGAAACGTCGGAAAATTTAAAAACTTAATTTTTCTACTCATTGCGATATTACAAATATCTCATTGCTCAATTTATTTGAAATTATCAAGTTAAACCTTGATGATGACACCTATAATCATATATATTGTTCGTTGACCTGTAATCTGTTACTTTCTAGATAGTATAGCGTTGAATATAAACATTTTGGAAACTATTTGTAAGGAATGACAGATAGTGACTAGCCGTGAAATCCAAGACGCGCATTTCGTCCTATTTGGGAATCATCAGCTGGACGTACCTGCATCTCAGAGTTGATGTTCACTCTGAGACTCGAACCCAATACCATTCGCTTCAAACGCCATCGCGTTATCCACTCAGCTACTGAGTCCTGATAGCCACTTGCTTGTGCAATGGGGTCAATTTAAATTCACTTGGTATTCTTTGGCTTGTATCTTCCCATTGAGGTTTGAGACTGCAATTGATCAGTCTGTTATTGGCATATGTGCATACTGTGCAGATTGCCCCGATATTTACTTAATTCACAAGCTTTTTGTAAGACTGCAATAATGGTACTCGTAAACTTAATAAATCTAAGCATTGTAGAAATCGACTGCCAAAGAAACAGTGAAATATAATTCAAAGTTATTCCCAGTATAATAAAGATTTAATTGCATTATTAAATGTATTTACATGAATTTTTAATTATTGAGGGCTCATATGATTTGATGTTAATTCTGTAGTAGTAATCATTCTATAATAACAATCTAACATTCCTGATAATAAAAGCATCTTGAACATTACAAAAGACCATGTTTTACTTGTTTACATTTGTTTACGTTTTAATACTTATCAGAAAATATCATTCATTCAAACACCATTTAGGTGTAATACACTCCAAGTAGTCAGTCATATGTTACCTTTTATATCGTCGAAAAATGTATGAAAAGAATACTTAAGTTGTAGGTCTCATGTTACGAAGTAAATAAGTGATATATTACCATTTCCAACATAACTGTGGTGATAAGTTTACTCCAAAGCAAAATCTTGTTGATTACATCAAGCGGTTACTTGATTGATTCGAAATTATAAAAGAAATTTATATAGACAAATTGTCTGAATAAACACTTAAATTAAATATGAACGTAAGAAGTGTATGCATCGTTTCTAATAATATAACCATGTTTGGAACATTATCAATAAGCTAGAAATACATTTTAAGAGGAAGTATTTATAAAAATATGTCCTATATAGAGTACAAAAGTTGGAACAAAAACAGCACTGTCAACTTACTGTAAATAAAATCCCCAGTGTAATATAGGAAATTACACATTAAAACATAATAGACTATAATTGCACCAAAAAGAGCTAACATAGAAAATGAGATTGCCAAAATGTAACCAGGTTTTCCTAAATGATATTGACATACGTCTGTAAACTCAATGTCAGCAGATGAACGAGTATTTTGTATAACTAGAATGAAAAAAAGCAATGAAGTAATAAAAAAAACTATTAACAATCTGGGTGATCGTACATTGTTGATCTGTATCTTAAATTGAGTGGATCTAGACACTAACACTGTTAGATGTTGACTCGGTATTTTTGAAGTTAGGTGTTTGTGGACGAGATTGAAGCTAGTGCGCTTGATTCCTTGTGGTAGGGTCATGGACACGCACCTCTGGACGAAACTAGTGTCCAGTACCTTTTGGTCTTCAGTGGTTGTCTAGATAAGATCAGCTCTTGGTTTGGCCTATGAAAGTATGCATTTAATTATTAATTTACGATAGTTATTGATGAAACTATGTTTAAAATATAATTTTATTAAACAAATATGTAATAACGTAGAAAGTATTAAATAATATAAAGTGAATATTAGGCACTGAAGAATAAAAAAATAAGTCAAAGTAAGAAATCGACTGATCTAATTTACTTCAAAAATGTAATATGATATTCAACAGACTAGTAAATAACTTGTTGGAGTCTGAAACGAAATGTACTGGGTTCGAATCTTGGTATGAACATCAACACTAGAAACCAGGTATATTCGTATGCCTAAAACCTAATACGACGAAAAGCTCGTCTTGAATTCCACTCCTAACCACCATTCAACAACGTGTGATATATAGCTTTTCTAAATTTGATCTCTAAGAATATATAATTGATGATGTGAGTTTAGAAACCATTCTGACTAAATGTTTTTAAACAAAGTAAAAACTGTATCACAAAGTAACTTCATCGGAAGTAAAATTAACGATTTTAATATAATATTTTAAGAAATACTTGAATATTCATAGAATATCTTAGTGTCTCTCTGCGAATTAATCCATTGAGTACTCTGAAGTCACATTTTGGGAGCCAAAAATGTCTAATAGGAGTTCGTGTTCTCTCATAAGGCAGAGACGACGATCACCGACTATTTAATTAAACTCTTTGATTGGAAACATCCAATTTATTTCTTCTTCTTTTATTTTTTGAAGACTATCAGTAGGAGTGAAACAAGTATTTCATTGATTATATAACCACTTATTGGTTTGAATATCTTCAAAATTAGGATAGTGCCTCTTTTCTCCAAAGACAAATACAACATAATTCATAATCCACAGGGAAGTTTGACATTTGTGATAACATGGCAGAAACTCACAAATACTTCAGTACCCAAAAATACTTCTAAGATTCTTCATTCATATTCAGTTTCTGATCTACCCACTGAAAGAATATAGTGTACCTGTGCTGCGAATCGAACGATGTGTAAGGCTTATTTTATGTGAAATTTTGTAATATGCCTAAGAAAATTATAAACTACTAATGGTAGTCATGTATGCAGGATTGATCGTCAATGTCTTGGTTGAGAATAGCTCACAAGACTGAGTTGATATTTCCACTTGTAGATACGCTTCAATGAAAGTTAATTTAGAAAACGATATACCGTCGTTGAATATAGTGAAGATGCATTCTGGTATAAAAGACATGTGATAGTGTTTATTGGTCACAAGGCTTTAGGGCTTAATGTCAAAATAACTTGATGTTATCAAAAAGATGAATAGTGACGAAAATCGTTATGTTACAGCCATGAAGGTATGAAAGAGATACAAAAAGATAACATATCACTTATTTCTACATAACTAGCATGTAAAGTTAAAATAGGCTATCAGGAATCTATAAGATTAAAGAAATCTTTTCTTATACATTATGCAAAGTTGAATAACTCGAAATTTTTCCTCGACAGGAAATTGTCAATTAAGGCATTTTCTATATAGTTAAACATTAATAACTCATCAAATATGATCAAAGAGCAATTGGAAAAATAGATTATCAGGACTTCATATCTTTGTACAAGCATAATAATACAATCCGAATTGACAATAAATATATTTTTAGTTCAGAAGGGTTTATGTAGATGTTACAGTAATTTCAATGGTTGAGAACATGAGTCAATTGAAGCTAGACCACCATGGGTTCGAATCTTGCGAGGCGGGTTCATGGATGCACAATACTAAAGAGTCCAACAGTAAAACGAAACGGCCATCCAGTGCTTCCAGGTTTTCCATGGCGGTCTAGTTTCAATTGTTTCACGATTTCAACCATTAAAAAAAATAGTTTTGTTGTATTCCAATAAGTAGAAAAAATTGTGTTTCTGACGTTTTTTGACCTAATGTAAGTCACTCTACCATATGCTCAATTAATTTGAAACTATGAAGTTCAACTTTGACATTGATACCGAACTAACATTCATTTATAGTCATTTCCAATGTTTCATTCATTTGAAAATCAAAATATGATAATCTAAACATCGATAGTGAATAACATTTTTGTTCAGTTAATTAGTCTCTTATGATCCTATAGATAAATAAAATAATCAATATCGGCTGGTGTTTTAACAAACAATTTAAAACCTTTATCATGTTTAACATTCTACTAATTTATTATTATATTCATTTTATAAATAAGTGACCATAGTGACTGGTTAAATGAGAGATAGTTTCACATTATATAGGAAAGACTGATTCAGCAAAGTGTTCTCTTTTTGGCGAATTCATTTTCAAAGCTGTACAATCGCAAATATATGAACTTATGTTTTTTCCTCAGGATGATAGTGATTACAATAATAATGATAATAAACTTCTGTTAGACATGGTAACAATGAGCTAGAATAAACAAAGGTATTAAAAAATTTTAAAAACAGGGGAATTAATAATCAGAAGGGCTTTTGGGGAGATTGTAGTAATTTCATTAGTTGAGATTATGAGTCAATTGAAGCTAGACTACCATGGAAAACCTGGAAGCACTGGACGGCCGTTTCGTCCTATTGTGGAGTTCTAATGAGAAGCAGTGACTAGTGGAGTTCAACCGGGTCTGTTATGAGATAGTAAATCATTGATGACAATGGTGGACGTGTCGCTCAATTTCGTGGATTAGTTGAAGTTAGACATTAACACCGTTGGATACCGGCTGGCTCAGTGGTTTAGTGAGTAAGCGCTCGAGCGTGAGACTGATGGGTCCTGGGTTCGAATCCCACGAGATGGGGTCGAGAATGCGCACTGCCGAGGAGTCTCACAATAGGATGAAACTGCGGCCCAGTGCTTTCAGGTTTTCCATGGTGGTCTAGCTTCGATTGACTGATGATCTCAACTATTGAAACTAATAATCGTTTGATTATTAATAGCTTAAATATTCATCAATAGATAGATATCGAAATGATCATTGGGAAAGGATGGCTCAATATAATAAGATAAAATGTTGGAATTGAGATTAAATGTAGTCAAAACGATCATAGAACCAGAAATAAACCAGTTGGGGGTAGAAGGTGTGAGGAGAAGATGGGGAAGCAGATGGCTATAAAGGAAGAAGGGTATGAAGAGAAAAATTCAAAATATTATAAGACATTAAGACTATGGTCGAAGGAGAGGTTTTATCAATCTCTTTTGAACAAACAATTCTGGTTTTCCCAGATTTATGGCTGTTGCTTAGGCTATGCTAAGAAGATGCAAAATGATTACCTTTGGAAGTCTTCAAACTACCTTGTAGATGACTTTGAACGCAGAGTTCATCTTGATTGAATGACCTTCGTTCACAAGGTGTCCGATTATTTAACTTCTTATTGAGCCGTTTCCTCCTCTTCTTGGCCACACGGGATAATATTCTTGAATTCTCTTGGAAAAAGTACGCATCGAACGACCTGTATATCTGGTTCCACGTGAGCGGGTAATTGATAAATGTACATTGAGTTGGTCAGATGAGATAATTTATCCTTAATATTATTGATGAACAATGATCGGCTGGAGAATGCTGCTCGCAACATTGCTGTGTAGAACGTTCTTTTTAAAGAATGAGAACTTCTCTTTAAGACGTATATGGCTCTTTCACTAGTAACGTCGATGTTCATGTATGATGTTTTCTTTTCGACTGAAGTTATTTGTGTTTTTGGCGGTTTTGGTTTTCTGCTCTTGTCAATGAATATGGAAGTATTTTTTTCAAGAGTCCCAGTTCGTCATCTATGACCTCGGGACTACAAATTCTTTGTATTCGTGTAGTAAGTGATATTATTAAGTTTCTCTTTCGACTAATGGAAATCTATCTATGTAAACTCTGTAGTTGACCATTCCACATGGGTTTCCTGTAGATAGATCTTCTTGGAGTTCCGCCTTGTTTTCTTGTCATTTCCACATCAAGAAAGTGAATATTTTGTTTGTTTTCAACTTAAAGTGTGAAATTTATTACTGTGTGACATTTATAAATGTCTTTAGAAGATGACTCAAGTCATATTTGTTGTCACAGATGATAAGGATATCATCTACGCACCTTTTATACAGATGGAAGTTTTCTATAGTCGTTTTATGTTGATCGTTTTATAGACTGGTCATGAAGCAATCTGCTGATAATTGACCGAGAGGGGATCCCATTGCTATGCCATCCTTTTGTCTATAAATTACGTCGTTGAATATAAACTGTACATTGCAAGTGCAACGTAGCAGTAGTTCCTTCAAATGAACTTCCGGTATTCTGATGTTAACAGGTGGTCTCTGTAAGTGGAACATTAGTGAATAGTAATTCGACCTCCAGAGATAGCCTTATTTTGTCATTTACATTAACTTCTTTTATGTGTTCAATAAATTCAAGAGTATCATGTACGGGATGTCTGCAAATGCGCTTTCTTAAGAGTTCTAGGAGATCTGCCAGCCACTTTGCTATAGATTGGTAAGAAGTTCAGTACATATCAGTTTTACATTACCTACACAAAGCGTAATCCATTAATTATTACTATGAATAATTAACCTGACAATCCATTTGTTCGCCATTTCATGTCACAAACTGATTTTAGATGATGATAACACAATAATATCACGATCTGATTTTAGTTAGGAATTTAAGCCATTGGATTTCAGGTCATTATGCACTTGCCACTTGATGTAAAGATTCAGGACTCAATCTATGACAAGATCATGGATACTTACTACTGAGAAATCCTATATTGACATAAAAGCTATCCAATTCTCGCTGTTTTTCAATGATCATTTAACTAAGATTAGTTTGTGGTTTGAAATTTTAGATTCTACGATCTTCAGAATATTTTGTAATAACAATCTATATTATTTGCTTAACCTTAAATTGAAAGATGTCATAAACCTGTAGATCATGTGTCTATCATACTAGGCATTCTTTTTTTATGAAATTTATTAGTAATTGGAGTATGAAAAAGCTTTAAAAGTTCTTTAGTGAAATGGCAGAACATTAATAACTAACACTTGTTGGATCTGCTTTTTCTTTTTCTTTTCATCAAGGTCAAATCAGAAATAAAGATTATGAATGACCGAATATTTATGTTTACATAATAGAATAGTAAATAATAAATATCAAAATTGTATTTTATTCAGACATTTACAAACATATGGAAGAATTATAATTAATGTTTCTATGCTAATATTCATAGACTGAATATATAACTATTCTAGAATAAGAGCGTAAATAGGACGAAACGCATGTCCTAGATTCCACTGCTAGCCACTATCCATCTTTGCATATAATATTATCGTTATACTTATGTAATCTTTAAAATATTAGATAAAATGTAATTGATGAACTGAGTACAGATTAGATAAGAAGTGAGAATTAATAATGATGACCCTCATTCATAAATTATTTTTTTATGTAATACTTTTCTTTCCATGATAGTAATCCTTAATTCTTATTTGATCTGTATTCGGTTAAGTCATTTTGTTTGTTTTTTTTGTGAAAATTATAATTAAAGTAGTATTAGCTATTGAATTTAAATGGTTTCAACGTTTCGTCCAGCAAAATTATCAAAATTATCAAAGAATATATGATGTTTAATAAACAAATCAAATCTTTACTGTGCTGATCCAATCATATTTAGATATTAACATCAAGCTGACCAAGGAAATAGAGTTCAATGACCACAATCTAGCGTTTCTTGATTGTTTGGTCGAAAGAAGACAATAATAAGTTAAAAGTAAATATATTTAGGAAATCAACACATTCTGAAATATACATAGATTATGGTTCACAGTTGTGAAAAAATAATTAACAGGAATATTAATCTCATTACAGAGAAGGATTGTCGACAGGTTAAATTGAATGGAATATTGTCTAACAATTACTACAGAGAGTTTTTAAAGATTATTACAAATGAAAAATTAAATTAGAGTGTATACTGAAAAAATGGAAGACCACAGTAATCATTCCATACTGTAGCAAAAAATAGGAAGCAATTAAGAGGATTCGAAACAAACATAATATAAGAGTGTATTTTCTTGCTAGTTATACCATAAGATCAGCATTAGTGAAAATTAAGGATAATTTTTCAATGGAATAACAAGAGAATTTTGTCTATGAGACCAACTGTCATGATTGTAATGCAGCTCATTTGGGTTGAAGGAATACAAACAACCTTTAAAAATGTTCCCAAATCCTCAATTTATCTGAAGAAACTTGAGAAAAGGTCGGCGATAAAGTTATATACGTCAGAAACAGTTAACATGATCGACTTCGAAGGAACCAAAATACTTCAGAAGGGTTTTGGCGGTCATAAAGAAAAATTGACAGCAGAAGCGCCGTATAAATAGGCTCTTTCTTGCCACATCTGGTTGATGGTGTTCATACGGTACATAAAGCTGAATCATTCCGAGTAATCTATCATATACCTTCGTCAGTGCTTAGTGGGGCTCAACATCACCTTCTATATACAACAGAATTTATGGAGATCCGAACCTGTAACACTAGTTTATGTGTTCAGAATAGATTCGTGAAACCTCTGTCCCTTTCTTGGCCGAATATCACTTAATAAATTATTTTATTGAATTTTTTCACATCCAGAACTTGTTCGTAATTTTTATAACCTTTACAGTTTAATTATTTACACACATTTTACTACGCGATTTAATAATCTTTTGTGGAGATTATTTTAAAGTTTATTTATCCACGTACGACCTTCTTCCTATATTGAACTATTAATTTGAACCTTATTATTAATTTTATCACTGCTAGTAGACCTGTCTTCTTACTACCAATTTGTACATTATATCTATAATGGGTGGATATGCAATCCATTTCATTGTGACCATTGACTCATAGGTTGCCTTGATCAATGATCAATGATCATTCTTGTTTGTCTCTATGTATTGTTCGAATTATACACAACGTGAATCTTTAGTATTTTAACATTAAAATGACAATAAAAAACGTAACGTTCAGGATGTTTAAGTGAATATATTAAAATGTAACACATTTAAGATACAAATTATTTCTGACTTTAACGATGATTAAACTTGAATGTGAACTATTGACAGCATGATTAATAGAGTTCATTAATAATGTGAAGATAATCACTACACAAATTACATCTTCAAACAATAATAACCGATTGTAGTATTTTTAAAATGATTAATATTACAAGACGACAGATTCGAGTGCAAAAAAATGGGGAAAGATGTGTAAAACTATTCACTAATGCGAGGGTGGATGTAAATAATAAATTATAATCAAAGTTATTTTTATGTTATTCAATCATTCATCCATGAACAATTCGATTGATATGCTTTAGGTTTCTATTCTACAATATTCACATATATACCTCATAAAAATCTATATTGTTTTGGTGGAGTTTTGTTCCCTGAGCTGGATGGTTTGGTCGAGAATAAAACTCCACCAAAATCATCCACCTGAGCTACAAATCTTCTCCACCATCTCAAAATCTATATCGTAAAATGCTCATTATTAAAAATCAAAAAAACGAACAAACAATTTACATATATGTAAAAATAACAATGATAATCATTAAAAATATTACATACTTTTCAAATCTTCTGTTGCCTTCAATACAAGATAAGCACAATACCAAGCAATGAATGCGACAAATATAATTAAAAATATACCCAAAGCGAAACCAGCCTATTGAAAAATAAATGATAGTGAAAAAGCAATAATAATAATAAAATCAGTTGATTGTGACAAGCCGATGGTTCTTCGTTCCTCTCACTCAATCACTCACTCACTCACTCTCTCTCTCACTTTGTCTCTACTTTTACGACAAGAAAGTTATTATTACTATTATTAACATACCTGTTGATTGCAAAACTAAAGTAGATTGATCACATTGAAATATGCTGTTATTTACTACTTATGAATTTATTCAGTATACAATAATACACATTTTTTCTTTGTGATAGTCATATCTGTCTATTGAGTTAACTTATAATGTGATTTGATAATATTTTCAGTAAAATTCCATACAAAAAACAATAAGAAAGAAAACAAAAGAAAACTGAAAAAGTTAAGTTTTCGTAAGAAAATAATCAGTAGATAGTGAATTATATGGAACACTTGTCTACTTTATTAGTTTATGTAAATTATTTTGTGGTTTGTACTACTGATGTCAACGGATATAAGTAGTATGTGTTATCAATTGAAAATAAAATGCCTGGAGGTAGAAGGTTAAGAAGAATAAAGAAAAGAAAACGATAACAGAGAATGATTGGTGAGAAGATGGAGGAACGATCAATTCTGAGACGATTGATTGACATTTTGCAAATGAATAATTTATTGTCTGGTTCTTAGATTTTACTAAGATATTCTGTAATTTTGTATTCAAATACATTCGATTGTCTCATTCTCATTCACTACAATTCTACCATAAGCAGGTCTTGTTATGAATTTCTACAGTAAAAATAGCTGTTGCCTTATTTATTCAGCATAGTTATTTCTGTTAACAATGGTAAATTACGTTAAGTTTACCAATGCTGAATAAATTATAATGTCAAAGAAAAATCGCGATCATAGATATGGAAAAAAGCCTATGTTTGTATGTGTTATTAAATAATTATCATATAAATCTTAAAACAGGTTCGACCCCCAGGATTCAGCTGAAGGTTTTCTTATAGGGATGCAACAGTTGTAAAAGATGGTTTGTCTGTTAAAAGATATATGGTACAAAATTCAGTGTTAATGGTGTATGACTGGAAAAGTACTATGAATGTCGTATAACAATATCAACTTGTAGACTGATAAATAATTTATATAATTATCATCATTTGTGTAAAATGAGGAAGCTGAATCTATATACCTGTTGATATTGGAACATTTCAATACTGTTCATTTGAAAAAATTGGTTGACAGTACAAACTAACAATCATTGGAAAACATACGAGTTTATCCATGAAACCTCCAAGAGTGAAAATGAGGGTATTCGAGACCTGATATTAGCACATTGACATGTGATCACTTGTATATTGTTTAACGCACTAGATTTCTAACTTCAGTTAATTAGTGACTTATAGCAGAAATTGTTTATTGTCTGATGCCAGAGAAGGATAAACTTCATAGACCACAACTTCATGATATGATGTTCAGAAATCTTCTCACTAGTAAGCACACAATTACTACCTAAATATATGTTTTGTTAAAAGGACAGTTTACAGCATGAATATACTCTAACAAGCACTTTTTATTTTCAATGATTTTCTATTTAAAATTAACCGATGATGCAAGCTCACTTTGGATTACATAATACAAGAAAACTTTACAAATTTTACTTATTATTATAAACAAACCTACCTACCGGTAAAACTACCGATATTATTGAAAAAAATATATATTTTTTTCAATGTACTATTATTGAATTAAATATAAATAACTTACTTGTTGTATAGCCCATGGCATTACCAAAATCGATGTACCCATTATTGTATTCCATATTGTAAAACTGAAGTGAATAAATTAAAAGTAAGTTGAGAATTAGCCCCTTCAAAAAATCATAGTTTTCAGCACTAGTAATTAATGGTTGAAATCATTAGTCAATTGAAGCTAGACTACCATGGGAAACCTGGAAGCAATGGACGATCATTTCTTCATAGTATCGGACTCTACAGCGTGCGAGACTGATAGGTCCTGGATTCGAATCTCGCGAAGGGATACGGGGCCGTGGATGCTCACTGCCGAGGAGTCGCATACTAGGACGAAACGGCCGTCTAGTGCTTCCACGTTTTCCATGGTTGTCTAGCTTCAATTGACTAATGATTCCAACTATTGAAATTACTAGTAATTAAATAAATGTATTCTAAATTTATGGTACCGATAGATTGACGTTCATATCATACCTGAATGTTTAACTCTATTTACTAATAAGATAAAAAGTAGCTCATTGAATTGTTAATGAAAAAAATATGTCTATAGGTATCAATATCAAGGTTAGATTTGATGGTTTCAAATAAATTGAGCATTTCATAGAGAGTTAATAATAGTTTTTTTTATATTCGTCCAGTTATAGCCGTCCAGTGCTTCCAGGTTTTTTATGGTGGTCTAGCTCCAACTGACTCATGATCTTAACCATTGAAATATCCCAATCAGTTGAGAAATAGTGTTACTGATGTTTTGTGACTTAATTTAAGCCACTTCTTCAGAGTGAATAAATAACCGAATTAAATTAACGCGTTTAAATAGTACTATTTAAACTTGTGAGAGAAAATGTTTGCTTCAGCTTGGATAGTCAAGAAAATTTTTTTTCTTTTAGGAAGTGAAAAATGTCGGTAATCTATAAAAATACTCGTAATGTTTTATACTAATGAACAAATATGCCACAGAATAGATACAGTGTAACTATTAAACTAGGTAAAATAAGAAAACAAATCATTTAAACAGTTCAAACGATATACCCAATCCTAAATCTTGTAATTTTGTTATGATCCATTTTGGGGATGCTTTTTTTGTATTGTAAGCTGTGGAGGGAAGCAGGTTTATATAAATTTCGTTGAATATTTTAATATTATAACTGGAAATCATTCTTGATCATTGATACACTTATATATTATGTTAGCTTTATTAAATGTTCAATAGAAACAATCTTTATTCTTAACAGACAATAAAAGACCTAGCGGTACCAAGGTCGTCTTAAGAGTTATAGCTTGGATATTATGGTTAACTTCAAGTTTCAAGGATTTTTATGATAAAGTAACCGCTTGAGTAAATTACTACAAATATTCAAAAATTTTGAATTTTCCAACTAATTCCACACTCTTCATATTCTTAGTCAATCCAATAATGAAAGTAAGTTAAATGGTTTCAAAAAGGATTACATTAACGATAAACATAAAATAAATATTATAGTGAAGTTGACGAATGATAATATCAACTAATGTGTCAGCCATTTATCGTATCATTTTGTGAAATAAACTCAATGTTGATGAATGAAATTTTCAAAACTGATTCACCATTACTGATCAGTAAATTGAATAACTATTTCCAATCAGTTATTAATCAATATGATTAATGAATTAGCTAGTTGACAATGATATTACAAGTGTGAAATATGTTAAACTTGATTGAAAATTTAATTAGCTTGTCATTTTAGTCAACACCATTAGATATCACATGTTTATCAATTACATACTATATAAGTAAAGAATAATGATAAATATTTTCGCATGACACACACATTACGTGGTTTTCCATTACATGATATTATTATCAGAAGGGTGTTTTGTGGATATTTTAGTAATTTCAATAGTTAAATTCGTAAGTCAATAAAAGCTAGACCACCATGGAAAACCTGGAAGCACTGAACAGCCATTTCGTGAATTGGTCGAGGTTATACATCAACACCACTGAATGCTGGCCCAGTGGTCCAGAGGTTAAGTGTTCGCGCGCGAGACCGATAGGTCCTGGGTTCGAATCTCGCGGGTTCAGGATCATGGATGCGCAATAACACTGAGGAGTCCCATACTGGGGCGAAATAACCTTCTGGTGCTTTCAGGTTTTCCATGATAGTCTAGCTTCAATTGACTCATAAATTCAACCATTAGGTATCAATTGATTTTTAAAACATAATTTCTGATCATTTACCGTGTGCTAACAAATTATTGAAAGGAACAATCAAATGTACATCAAATAACAAATCGACTAGTAATACTGGTAAAAACCATCATATTGTATCGATCAATGGGCACAAATAAGATTATATGTATTAAATAAAGTCTAATAATATTTGGCAAAGGATAAATATACGTACTAAAAATTGTATTTATGAATAATTTTGTAGAGTAGCTTAAAATCATCAAATTACTTTATTGCCTGTCAAAATGTCTAGACATTTTTTGTTTTTGCCAGATTAGAATATTCAAGAAACATCATTTATTTACTAGCATATTTTATGAATTTAGATAAGGTAGAAAATTTAGTAAAAATAAAAGTTGAATGCCGGCTCAGTGGTGTAGAAGTTAAGCGCTTGCGCGCGAGACTGATAGGTCCTGGTTTCGAATTTCGTGGGGGGTGGGATCGTGGATGCGCACTGCCACTGAGGAGTCCCATACAAGGACGAAACGGTCGTCCAGTATTTTCAGGATTTCCATGGTGATCTAGCTTGAATTGATTCATGATCTCAACTATTGAAATGACTAAAATTTACACAATACCGCTTCTGATAAAAATAAAAATGAAGACGATTTTTTAGTATGAGGTTAACTATTTTTTTTCAACGTTCAATACACATGTAATATTTAATATTGTCGAGTATTATTTTGTTTGTTTAGAGGATGAGTGGTGTATATAAGAACATGCTCTTCATTGGGAACTTCATTTTAATCTAAATAAGTTTTCTGTGAACATGCCATTGTAGTTCAATCCAACTTGCTGAATGGAATAAGTATATAAAATGAAAGTTGGTGCTGGAAATGACATTTTCAGTGAAAATTATGCTCTCAAATATACCACTAACCACATAAATGAACAGCAAAGTGCTCTAAAATACTGTAAATCCCATACATATTAAACATTTAGGGACAGATGTGTTACAAACCCACAGATACGTATCCTGTTTCACTTTCTATCTTCATTTATTCTTAATAAATTTTTAAAAATGAATACAACATATAAAATGATCTGTTTCGCAGAGGGTTTAGTGTTGCATCTTCAGTATTCTAACATTGATATTCGATGACTGTAATTTATTTTTCTAGAAATATCAATGAAGTTTAGACTTGTACACCAGTAGATTCCGGGCCAGTTGTCTAAAGCTTGAGCGTTCGTACACGAGAATGAATGCTCTAGGTTAGATTCATCAACAACTGGCGTCATTTAGATAACTATTGAAAGATGTGGGAAGTGGTGAACGACGTTTTAGCGCAACTGAATTTTGTAGTTTACACCGCAGACTAACTTTGGCCACATAACTAATGATAATCAGGAAACACTAGATAGCTGTTTCATTCTGGTACGGGGCTCATCAGTAGTGTACATTCACGACTACACTCAGTAGTTTAGAGGTTAAGATCTTGTCCAGACACCTTCAGGTCCCGAATTCAGTCTTCAATGTGACCGCGGATGTTGGGAGTCTCATGTCTGAACAAGATAGATATAAAGTGCTTCGTCGTTTCTAATGTTCATCCAATTAAGGAAAGTCTGTAATATAAATTACACAAGAACTTTTAATCTTACCGTCTGATTACTCAATACTGAAAACTTAAGAATTCATACGAGTCGTAAGCAGTCTAAACTTCTGTTTAGACGGATCATTTCGACTATTAATTCAATGAATACTGACTCGGATATGTAACTCCATAATATAACGAGATCCTTAATAAAATAAAGTTGGTTATAATAAATGTTTACTCAAATTATCTGTAATCTGCAAATATTGGTTTCTAATGTATAATGAGCTTTAGGTATGATAGTACAGAACTAATTCAAGACTTCATAAGAACATAGATACTTTTAGCAGTAAGAAGTTTAAGCCTTTGTTTAATAGACCAAACAAATAACAGTTTGCAATTTCAGTTGTTCCTAGTTGTGAAATTACAAATGAATTAACTAGTAATTGAACTAACTAAAACCTTCCGGCATTAAGTGTTATCGTTCACTGAACTTCAATTATTTCAGATAATGACACCAAACCATTTGGCTCATAAGATATGCAGTAGTGGATTCTATAAAAAATAACTCAAGTTAAAAACAAATGGTAGATTACTATGATTATCAAGATCTTTTAAGATGTCAGTCAATAGCTAAATGATGTCATCAGTTGTATCACTTATTGATAATCTAAACCTGGAGTTAAGCAGTATTTTTTTTCACAAATACAAACATAATGTTACAATGAACCCCAAATTCACGTTAAAAAAAACTTTATTAAATGCCGATGCCTATAATAAAACTTCGAGTTTATCCAATTATAACACACGTTGCCCTTTAAACCGGTTTAACTTTTTAAAGGAAATAGATGATTTTAGAAAACAGTTTCATGTAAACAATGGAAATGTTTCTATCTTTCGATTTATCGATCTGTCTGTTTATCTATCTGATTGTTTTGTTTTTGTTTTTGTTTACCTTTCTTTCAAACTACTGGTAAGTGCATCTTTGATTTTTTTTTCTTATTCTTATAGTGATTTTACAATTAGATCTCTGATATAAGTCATCAGTTTCTTCATACATTTATTTTCATTGTTAATGATGAATAAAATAAGAATGAAAAACGTGATAGAATAATGTAACTTTTATTTATCTCATGAATTCCCATTAGTTGGCGCTTTCAACCAAGAAATTTTAGTAAAGATTATTTATAACCAATGTGAATACTTTCGATAATATTAGTGAATATTAGTAGAATAACCACAACGAATATGGAATTTGTTATGACTTATCCTTAACCTGTCTAGTTGACCTTTTAATTTTCAAATATGGAAGTATTGTGAAGTGGTAAAGTGGATGAATATT